GAGGGATATGGCCGGCGAGTGGTAGGCACCCAGCGACGGTGGTGAGCAGCCGGCCGGTCGACCGTGAGGATCGGCGGCGGCGCAATTTAGGGTTAGCGGAAGCGAGAGGCCGCGGAAGCGAACCGTCTCATGATACCATGAAAGAGTATGATTAGGGGAATACTCAATGTATTACTCAGGCATAGTCAGTGTACATATATAGGCTAAGTGGGGAGTCATGGTAAACAGGCCCACGAGCCCAATTACATTCAACACCTTCTTTGCGAGGGTCAAGCGTGGCCTCGAGCCCTATCTTCCGGAGGGTGTCGGTGAGGTTTCTGGAGTAGGACATCTTGAACCTTGGCAGCCGGAGCTTGCGGACACACACCTTCCTCACCGGCAGATGATCGTGCAGGAACGCCGGGCCGGACGCGGCGAGCTCGTCGACGAGGCTCCACAGGCCGTTGCGCGCGTCCGGCAGGAAGACGCACAAGGGAGTACCTGGCGACGTCGCCGCGGCGCGCAACCTTCGTCATCCGGTTGCCGCCTTAAGGGGGGAAGGCCAGGGATGCTTAGTACCACAGCTTGAGCACCTTGAACCCGCCGTGCACGACAACGAGGTAGCTGCCGCAGCCGCGCGAAGTCCTCCACCTCGGTGCAGCGCTTGGTGAAAGGCTTATCCCACTTGCCCTTAAGCAGATGGCGTTGACGGGGCTGATGGGCTGGTATTAAAGTCGGCTGGTTTCGGCTAATCGAGGAAAAATAAGCTAAAATAGGCTGAGTCGGTTGAATTGGCTGATTGAGGAAAAATAAGCTAAAATAGGCTGAGTTCGGCTGAAAAGCAGTTCAAGCGAACAGGCATCACATGCCGTGCTTCCTCTGCCTGCGTGCGTGTGAATGCGTGCATTAGTGCCATATTGGTTAACAAGGTTGTTGCGGACGGGGATCTATCAGGCATGTAATCGCCGATCGACGGCGGACGGAGCAGGTAGAAGAAGAACGTTACGCACACGCACCTTTGTTTTTGTCCTGAAATCCACGGCGCGCACCTCGGCCTTGAAGCACTCGACGGCGGTCGCTCTGAACGCCGGCTTCAAGAACACGTCGTTGTCGTGCCAGACGCCGCACGCGAATGCGATGAGCGGGCCGCCGGACGCGGAGTCGTCGGCGAGCGCGCCGCAGACGAGCTCGGCGAGGTCGTCGCGTGACGCTGCGCCGAGCAGGGCCAGGAGCTCGCCCAGGGCGGCGCCCCGTGCCCGGCGGCCACCAGGGCCAGCGCGGCGTAGATGGACAGCGGCGAGAAGACGAGGTTGCCGCTGCGGTCGCTCTTGTTGGCGACGAGCTGCTTCGTGAGGCGGAGCGCCAGCGACGTGAGCCCGGCGCTGGCTGCGGAAACGCGCTGCCCCTCCGCCTCCATGGTGATGGTGTGCTTGCGTCTTTGGGTACCTGTGGATGGATCGATGCAAGGAGGACGGTACGTACGCCGAGGCTGTATTTGGAGGACGGATTGACGGAAGCGCGCGTATATATATACAATGAAAGGATTATATGATTCCGATCGATCCTAGTACGAGTATTGTTTAGAATCATGGACTCTTTATATTACAAAAAAACAGTTCCAGCACAATCATTAGGTGAGGTTGGCCAAGAAATTCCGTATACACGGAGGTCAGCAGGGCCCGGAGATAAACGCCCTGCACCGCGCCTCCATACAGACACACCTTAGATAGAAGTCATATATCCCAAAAGTCCATCGCACGGTTAGAGGTGGTTGGCTCAGGCTTATCTACCACCCCTAGCTCTGTGATGGGCTTTTTTAGAACATGTGTCTTTCATTTATGGGTTTTTTTTGACACGTACCTTCCATTCAAGGTGGCTCTGCACGTGGCAGTTTTGTTATTATGTGCACGGCCGCCACCAGCCCTTCTCTATAAGTTTCCTTTGCTTGCATTGCATGCAGGCTGATCGTGATAAGTGTTGAATTCTTGCTAGCTATGGTTATTTCAGGGACAACTGCAACTCATAGATGAGACGAAGGGGGTGCAGCATGTATATGTAGCTTAGGTTTTTGCTCTCACCTTGGATGGCTATTGTTGAGGAAGACATTTGAATGTGTATTCTCTCCTCTAAGGGTCTGTTTGGAAGAGTTTCAACAGCTCTAGATCCATAAAAAATAGCTCTAAATATATATTTTCAAGCCAAACACTTTGAGATTCGGTAGATCTACCATTGAGCGGATCCACGAAATCCATGGATCTGCCTCTAGATTCACGGATATTGTGGAGCACCTCAAGGGTGGCAGGCAGGTTGGCAACATTGAGTAGGTTCATCTCAAGATTAGCAGAGCGAGGGTTACCCTTCTTTGAGGTCATGCGAGAGCATAGAGCCATTCAACTGGGCTAGTAGAAAGCCTTCAGGGACCTCAAGAGCTACCGCTTGGGCCTCACCGCTCTCACTAAGCCCGTTGTCTGGTGAACCACTCATCCTATACATAGCAGCTTCCGCCCTCGGTAGTGAGTGCTGTTCTCATAAAGGAGAAAGAAGAAGAACACCAACGAAGGCAACTTGCAATCTACTTTGTCTCAGAAACACCATGCCCACACCGTTTTTGTCATCGGAGTCACCGCTTGCGGCCTGCTGGACCAATTGGGCTAACCAGATCCGCCGCTCGCAGCATGTCCTACGTACGAGGCCACCAACTCCACATCCGTGGCTGCCCTCACAGATCCAAACACAGAGCAAAATCACAAGGCGATTCAACAAAGAGATAATAGGAGGGATCCACATCGAAGACAGAGGATGAGATAGAGATTGACCTCTCTCACCCGCGTGCCGCTGATGCGTCGCATCTGCACCACTAGCTCACGCGGGCCTGGGTGCTGCCACCCTGTGTGACCTCGATCATGTGCCACCGGCCCGTGCGCCACTGGCCTCGCGGCTTGGGGTGTCGCTACCCCGCACGACATCGCGCTATTGCTACACGTGGCCTTAGACGCCACCGCCTCATGCTCTGCCTCACGAGTCAGGGAGAGAAGGGGAGTAGGAGAGGAGGAGGGGGTTGGGAGTGGGAGAAGCGGCGTGTGGGAGAGAGGAAGAGAGCTAGAAGAGAAGGGAAGTGTGAGGGGACAGAGAGGAAGAGCGCCTAGGAGAGAGAGAGGATTGTTCGGACTTCAACTCCCTAGAGTTAAGAAAAGTTAACTTTAATTTCAGGCTCAAGATTGAAGTCACTGTCGGTTGGTTATACAACCTGACATTGATACTATCACTATCAGGTTATATTACCAACCAGCGGTGATAATTATCTATCACTGCTGGACAATTTTAAAATCTAACCGTGATAGCATTATTGCTTATAAACCGGCAGTGATACCTTGTCACTGTCGGTTGACAGTGATTGTTTACTTTGGCATAGTGGGTGACCTACTAATCATAGGACAACCTCGCCATGCTCTGCGCCTTCCCCGGAAGTGCTTGTGGGTCTTTCGAGTAAAAAAACAGTGCCAAAGCGTAACTTACCCTGGTTGGCCTTATTGTTTACTGGGTAGCCTTGGCCGATCAAGGTTCTTGTTTGCTGCTGTGTGACTAAAATCCGCGTGAACATTAACGATTACAAAATTCGATGAGCAGTAACGGTTGCTGGGAGCAGCGTGCCAATTAACGTTCACTACTGGAAACTACAAATTTCATGATGGTTTTGATATTTTTGACGCTTATTGAAAAGACACACATGATTTTGTTGCCATCAAAATTTCTCTTCAATCTCGCAAATGGTTTTGAATTCGTTCCCCAATCTTTCACGCCGTCGGCGCCTGCAGTTCTCAGCTGTCTAGCCGTCGAATCTGTTAGTTGGACTTGAGGATGATATCTCGATTGTCAATTGTGAAGATCTGGGAGGCTTGTGAATGAGTGCGTGGTTGCGAGCTTCCATTAGTGATTATATATTGTGCGGATTCCTGACACATTTGTAAATATAACTAGGTGAATACCCCACGCGTTGCTGCGGGACTTTTTAAAAGTGATATCTTGTGAATGACAAATAAATTGATCATGCAAGAAGCACAAACATGCACAAAAGTGAAATAAAAATATGGTATTGTTGTACCATCCAACAAAGTAGTATACATGAAGACCAATGGCAATTAACTTCTCGAAAGGAAAAAATATGTCTTAAGCTAATTATAATCCTGAAATAATGTTAGGACAGGATTGGTATGTAAAATGATGTAATTAAAAGGAACACCATAGTCTTCTTGATGTGTCGCAACATGTGAGGGCATGGTACTTCTCCATATGCTAACTTTGGTCCTGAGAAACAATAGTGGATAAATTAGTCATCAAGCAGAAGAGTAGATTGATCGATCTCACACCTTTAGAATTCAGAAACCAATTTGAAAGAAGAAGCATAAGCTCTGAGCACTTACCTGTGGTTTGTCTCCATTCCTTCTTGGTGTGGAGCACTATATAGAGAGGGAGAGTAAGAAAACCAAATGAGGCACAATGGCCAGTGTGAGAGGAGGAAATGGAGGAGTGGAGAGGCTATTTATCAACGTAATTAGGATGGAATTGCATGTTGTAGTGGAATGAGAAAGAATCAAATGTAAAGCACTAAAAGGCATGATGGCCATGTGTGTAAGTGGATGGATGAATGGGGGGGCTATTTATGAAGGTGATTAGAATGAAAATTATTTAACCAAGGTCGTCGTGCATTCAGAAGTGGAATGAGAAATGATCCTACTATACAACATGCTTGGGTTAATGACACATGGATGGACAGATTTGATTTGAATGGCAAGGTGGGATATGGAGGTGGAGGTAGATGCGTGGGTCAGGAGGGGACGATGACGTGGAGGGCTATGGAATGAGAAAAATAGGTTAGTGGGGTTTTGCTTTATAAGAGTTTAAGATTTTCTATGCTCAGTGCATCCTCGAAACGAACGGCATGTCGTCATCGACATCCTCCGACTGCTGCTCCCTCCTGCACCCCCAGCGGCAGCTCCAGGCGCACCTAGAATTGAAAACGGCTAGCTCCTTGAGTGCGTGGACATGATCCGGGCAGTGGCCGCCGCCCTGGGAAGCACGACGCCGTAGCCATCGTCCATGTAGTCGGTCCCCTCCGGGAACACCTGCCAGAGCAGCGCCCCCGCTCCGGCGCCGCCACGCCGCGTCGAATCCAGGAGCTGCCCGTACACCGCCTGGATGAGCTGGTCTCTCGTGGTCGCGTTGAAGCCACCGCTCGTCCGGGCCTTGGTGGACGCCCCGAACTCCGTGAACACCACCGGCATGCCGCCTAGCGTGCCCTCGGCGTCGGCGATGTGCGCCTCCATCCACGAAGCCACAAACTTGAGCTGTGCCTCCAGAGTCGTGCCCGACATCCAGGTGTCTGGGTAGAGATGAACGGAGGCGAAGTCGACACCCAGGACGCGGTGGTTGCGGATGAAGTCGGTGCCGACCTGGCCGGCATAGGTGTTTGGATTGGCCGGAAGCCGTGCCGGCGACGAGGGGCCGTAGAAGCCCTCCGCGCCGACTTCGACCAGGTGATCCGGGTCGATGGACTTCACATGGAACGCCATCTCTTGGACCCACTCCTGCAGCTTGTTCCCGGTTGGGTCCGACGTGCAGCGCGGCTCATTCATGAGCTCCCACGCCAAGATGGTCGGGTCGTCCTTGTACATCACGCTCGTGTACGTGTTCACCCTCGTCAGCATGTTCTTGACGTGGTTCTTGAAGTAGCCCTTCACGGTTTGGTCGGAGAAAAAGTCATCGTCGGAGGTGAAGTTGAGGCCGCCGTCGTCCCTGGCCCATTTCACGTACTGCGCCTTGCCGCCGTAGCCGTCCCAGTTGTTGATCAGTGACAGAATAAGCCTGATCCTGTACTTCCTTGCCTCGCTCGCCACGAAATCCAACGCCTTCGTGCGCGAAACAAGCAAATCCATTCATAAGTAGCTTCACATGTTCACGTATGACATAAGTTGGCCAAATATATAAAAAATATACTAATATTTATGATGCATAATAAAAAGCATTATATTAATAATATAATATATTTTCATAATAAACATATTAGAAGGTACAAATGTTGGACCACACACAAATCAATCGTGTTCGGCTGCTAATTGAATTGCTGTTTGGCAGCCCTGGTACAATATCCTGCTCTCACCACAAACACAACAGCAGCCGAACGGGGCCAATCATCTCACCTTGAAGACATCCTCGTCATAGACAGATGGCGACTTCTGAAGCGCCCTCCAGCCACCGTCGTTGAAGGCCCACGTGCGGCACACCGTGAGCCCGACCGCCGCCGCCTGCTGGAACACCTCGGTGACCTTCCCCCTGGTGGACGGGTCGACGGCGAGGATCATCAGCCAGTACGCGTTGAAGCCGTTCACGTAGAAGGGCCGATCGCCGACGACGAACTGATTTCCCCTGGTCTTGACCATCCGCCACTGCTCATCGGCGATCACCTCGCTGCTGCTTGCACTGTGGTAGTACAACATGTGCGCCATGCATGCTCGTCAAGATAAACAAACTCGCGACCGAACCAGAACTGCATGGTCAGATGCAATAGCTAGAGAGACAGTTAGTTTGATGAGATACCCGTTTACGTTTGGTCTCTGGGCAAGCGTATCGACGTCGGCGCCGCCGAGTATCTCCACAGGTGCGAGATCTACATGAGCATGCCTCCCATCTGTCAGCAGAAAAATGGCAGCTACGGCCACCGCAAAACGTCGGACAAAGAAATGGATCAGAGAGACTCTTGCTCTTGCTCTCCCCTTGAACACAGTCTCCATGGTCGTTGCAACTTAACTTAACCGTATGAATACACATCACACAGAAAGGACGATCGAGTTAAACTAATAAGGTCTTCGATTCTTGTGTGTAACTTGAGTATATATACTTCAACCACGTAGCAGTATATATAAAACGAAGGTGAGATCGATACATATGAGACGTGTGTTTGCTGAAACACATAGGCATAGCTAGTGTGATGGAGACGTGTTTTGATATTGGCTTGGAAGCAAGAAATTAGAAGCGAGTAAGTGCTGGATTCTAGCTAGGGCAAGCAACCAGAGGTAGCTGACATTCACACACTTTGGTTGGGTCAAGGTTTGAAGCAAAAGGAAGAGGTCAATTCAGGTCCAGGAGGACGGACAATACAAGGCGGGAGCGAAGTGGCTTCAAAGGCTGGTAGAGTGGCGTAACAAAGCATGCTTCATGGATATGGACCTTGGTTGATTTCATGGACCACGATTTCAAGCTTGGATTGGTCCGGACTCTCCCTTTAAGCCGGCAGCCGGCTCCTCCTTCTAGCCCAAATAGAAACCGGCCCACAGAACAATCCGTGTTCTGCTCTCGAGCAGAGACGGCAACATGAAAACCACCATAAAAAAAACACCAACAATGAAACTTCAAAGCACCACCAAAAGCCATACAGCACGCGCGGGAAACAAGCTTAGTATATGGGCTAAAGGGAGAAGGTTTTCCACAGCTATGCTTCTAAAGAGTGAAACGATATTAACAAATGCCACCAATTCCGGCCAAAAGCGTCACTATTGCCGCCCATAGCTAATGGTTCGTCAGAGCTTTTGCCCAAAAGCAACTCACTCCATTATAAGAAATAATGATTATATACCAATAAGCCTTCTTTGTAAGTTGATTAATCATATTGTCACATCCATGTGGTAAATTTAAAATACATATATCAGGCCCCAGGCCTTAAAGCCATTAAAGTATATTCCACGGAGGTTCTTCTCGTAGCATGATGGTTGCAAGTACTCATCAACTATATCTTGACACTAAGGGCGACCAAACATCTAGATCAGGCCATCTAGTGTCCTCACAGGTGGTCAAAGTGACCTGTAGAGGCATCAAAGGCTTGTTCTAACAAAAGCATGAAGTATTTGCTGGAGCGCACGATGTGGGGACAGAGAGAACAAAGAGACCTAGAAACATAAGAATGAAGAAAAAAAAGTGACTTCCTACAAATGCGCTGAGGGAGGTAATAGTACTGATAGCTTGCACTAGGAAAATCTTAGGTTTTAGACCTTGACATCTACATGGACAACTAATTTTTGGGAGGCTAATAACGTTTTGTAGTGCATTAGGCTTGCCCTCATAGGTAATGATGTTTTTTTAATCACACAAAAGTGCAAAGTGCTCATTAGGGCATGCCGTGTGGCCAAAAAAGGAAACCTATAGTAGCGTGTTTTGCTATGGTCATGCCAATCTCCTATGAAAGCTCTGATTTGAAAGACATTTTACAATTGTAGGTTTGTACTTAAGTTTCAGATTGACATGTCATTAGTGTCTAGATGCCTCAATTTGGCCTGCCCCACCTAGCGCTGCCAAATCATAGATCAATTTTTCTTCCTTTGCGTGGCTATATCGGGGCGCTTCTTTTAGACGTCAAACTTTGGTCGGCTACCGTGATTTAGCCAGGCGTCCAGGGGCTCAATCTAAACACATCCCGGTGAACCAACAATTGAACAATATTATTGTAGGAAATTTTTTCTATTTTCTACGTTTTTCTTATGAAAATTAACTGATTTCTGTATATTCAAAGAAAATTTTACAGACATTAGTTCATTTTTATAAGAAAATTAATCAATTTCTGTAAAATTTCTATACAATTATTGTAAAATTCCTATGTTCTAAAGGGGGCCTAAGTGTTTCTGTTGAACATGTCCCAGCAAGTGGAGTGGGTGGCACAAAAGGACATGAGTGTCCTTACTTGCTGACATACAACACAACACTAAACCACCCGCATGAAAATCTTCTCATATTTGAAAATTATGGGGCCTAAAAATCAGCCCAAATCTAACAACAATTAAATGGAATCAAACCTAAAGCACATCATGGTGTTGCTACCATCTCTTGATGATGATACGTCAAATCAGCCATTCTCCATCACGTTAAGGTTATCCTAAATTACGGCGAAGGCTATTGGATGTACTTCCTACATTTCAAATTATAAATCATTCTAACTTTTTTGGAGAATCAAGGCATCTAATTAAAATTATAGAGAGAATTACAAAGATTAATGATATCAAATAGGTATACTAAAAAAATATAATTAATGAAGAATCTAATGATACTTATATGGTATTATAAATATTATTATTTTATTATATAAAATTTGGTTGTTTTGACTCTCCAAAAAATTTAGAATGACTTGTAATTTGAGATGATTGAGTACAAGCTACTATCACGGTCTTGTTCTAGTTCCATCCTAAAACATTTCGTCAGCTTCATTCCTCCGGCTGACGGGTGGGTCACAGATTCTCAGTTGGGTGATCCAGCCGGACCACGCCGCCGCTGCTCATTTGGGCCGAAAGCCCATGGGCGGATAGCTTCCATCTTGGAGATGAAGGAAGTAGCGACCAGGCCCATTCGTAATTTTTTTTCCCGTATAAGCACACGCACGTGTGCAGTGTGCTCAGCTCCTCCTCGTGCAGCCATCCGCAGTCGGGTACGGCGCTCTCTCCGGCCCAGCCGCCGCCGCCGCCGCCGCCGCCGCAGCAGCAGCAGCAGCAGCACCACCACCAATCGCAATGGCGAACCCGCCGCCGTACTTCTCCGCCGGTCCGTACTCGGCGCCCGCGCCGGCGGCGAAGGATCAGGACGCGGCGAAGGAGGATCAGGACGTGGCGCAGCTCGTGCTCGAGCTCTGCGTCCCAGAGCTCCGCGAGAAGGCTCTCCTCCTCCTCTCCAAGGTGAATGACCCCTCGCTCTCTCGCCGTCACCGCGTTTGCGGGGGATAAAAATTTCCGCGCCTTTTTCGCTCTCTCTCTTCCTGATCGCCGGTGCCGCGTCGTGGTTTTGGAAGTCGCGGCCGTGGTGGTGTAACGCTGAGACCTAGCGGAGGTTGAATGCACTTCTGTTGTCAGATTGGCTGTCTAGGGCAAAAGACTACGCCAGGCTCCTGTTACTCGATCTCTGCAGACGCTTCAGTGGTGGTATTTCAGTGCAATATGCTTGTTCTGTTGTTCATATGTGGAAAGCAACGAGAATTGCCAGATTTTCTTTTGTAGTCCCTATGTTTTAGTTGAGGAGAAAAAAAAAAAAAAAATCAGTTTTGATGTATCTTAGTTGTTAGCTATTGTTGTTTTTTGGTTGGTATTTGTTCTTCCTTGCTGTCCTTTTAGAATATGTTCAAGCTATTCTTGTTAATATCAATATCAGGGCCTGTACATTAAAAAAGGTCTCTAGTTTTGACCTGCACTGAATAGCTAATTTGTTTAAGGTAAAATAGACGATACTGCATTTTTCTGGTGGCGTCCAGCTTGAATAAACTGGTGAGGTTCAGACAGGAGCCTTTATAGGGTGCTCTGCAAAATGAGGCTCCGTTTGGTGATTATTTTTTTTTTGCTTCAGCTCCACGAGCAGTTCCCGGTGAAGAGCGGTTTTGGGACATGTTTGGCAAAATGGCTTTCTTCTGAGATGAAAACTTTTTTGACTCCATCCCACCCAAATCATTGTGAGAGCATGTTTTTAGGGGCTTCATCAGTGAAGCTATTTCACTTTACCCCGTTTGGCAGAAAACGGCTCAGCCCTGCCAAACGGTTGGGACATGTTTCTTCTGGATGAAAATTCAGACATTTTCAATATGGTACTCCCTCCGTTCCAAATTATAAGTCACTTTGACTTTTTTGATATATCAATTTTGCTATGCATCTAGATATAATAATATGTCTAGATACATAGCAAAATGGATGAACCAAAAAAGTCAAAACGACTTATAATTTGAAAAATGGAGGAAGTAGATGAGAGGGGTGAAAAACAGTTCATGACTCTAGCATTTTGTTTCTTGTTCCAAATTATAAGTCGTTTTGACTTTTTTGGTACATCAATTTTGCTATGCATCTAGATATAATAATATGTCTAGATACATAGCAAAATGGATGAACCAAAAAAAGTCAAAACGACTTATAATTTGAAACGGAAGGAGTAAATGAGAGGGGCGAAAAACAGTTCATGAGTCTAACATTTTGTTTCTGTAGATCTAAGCTTCCTGTTTTCATGATAGTACTTTTGCACTGTTTAGCATCCTTTTATATAAAATTCGAGATGGTCTACTACAACAATTTGATGATGCGCTATGCCTATGTGTTCAGTGCATGTGTATCGAGGTTTTTGGTGATCTAATGTTTCTGTTGTTACTAATTTAGTGCTCTATAGGTCGAATGGGGTCCTGAAGCTTTTCTTTTTGGTAGATAGTTATTTGTTACTCATGCTCAAAAGTACATTGCGATACATTATACCTCACATGGTAAATTTATATAAACTTTTTCTTAAAATATTTGATCTTGCAGCCCTAAGTATATTGATTTGGGAAGTTGGGACTGAAGTTTTCATTTAGAGTGATGTCCTGGTTATTTCTTTCAGAAACGAGAAAAATGTGAAGATCTTGCTCTGCTACTGTGGCACTCTTATGGTACAATGGCTGCACTACTCCAGGTGGGTTAAATAATTGCAGCCTTCTGAATTTAATTCAAGGAAACTTGTGACATCATAGTAGCTATGAACTTAGTAAGTTAGTATGCTGTTTGCATTAGTGTGGTGTACATGTGTATTGTTTCATTTCATAAGAAATCAGTTGAATCTTTCATGGATCCTTTTCTGATTGAAGTCTGTATGGCTACTTGAAACATATGCAGGAAATTGTGTCAATTTATCGATCACTTTCACCCCCAAAATTATCGTCTGAGCAATCAACTCGAGTCTGCAATGCCCTTGCACTCCTTCAGGTATGCTTTTACATCAGAAAGCAAAGTATTCATGGCACTGGGGATACTTTAAAGCGTCATCTATCAGTTCATTTTGATATTATAATCTATCAGTATTAACAGGGATACAGGATATGTTACCTTAGCCATTATAATATGAAAAAGCTGCCAATTTCATAGTATAGTGCAATATGGGGTTGTTTTAAATTGCCATTTATCAGTTCATGCACCTCAAATTGGTTTTGTCCACCACTCTGTTTCCTTAACTTCCTTTTGTATTACTTGTTCTGCAGTGTGTCGCATCGCACCCTGATACTAGGATGCCATTCGTAAATGGTAATGACTGCTACCATGCTTATGACAAAAATATGAATACCCTTATGATGGTGTACTTTAAAGAATATGTCCCTATCATCACGAATTTTCTCTTGTTTAAATCATACACTTGATTCTAAGTAGTAGAAAGTATTTATCACATCTAGATAGTGTTTCCTGTAGAAAATTTCCCCTGTACTGATTTACTTTTCACTCTTCTGGTTTATAATGTACACTTTTCAGTAACTGTCTCCTCTTGCAGCACTGGTTCCACTGTACCTCTTCCCTTTCTTGAACACTACCTACAAAACAAGAGAATATGAGTTCTTGAGGCTTACCAGCCTGGGTGTGATCGGTGCTCTTGTGAAGGTAAGAAATTTAATACAACTAAGAAGGGCTATGAATTTCTATTTGGAGTGGTGGGAGGTGTGCAGGTTATCAATTTGGATTTTTGGATACAAATTCCAGTCTTGCCGATTAAATAATCTAATTGGGATTTTAAATCCTATGGATCCCTATATAAACATTAATAATTGTTTGAAGAACTGAACAGTGCTGTAATTTGTTGAAGGCTTGAAATTCATTCATTTCTTTTATACCAGATATGTTTTTAAAAATAAAACTGAACATTTTTTTCTGGGTAATATATGCAGTTTGATGACAATGAAGTCGTTGCGTTTCTACTGACATCTGAAATAATTCCTTTGTGTCTGCGTGCTATTGATATGGGCAGTGAACTCTCGAAAACGGTATTTACCAGTCTACCCAACTATTACTCAAAACATAATAATCTTTTATGTTTGTTTCTATGCTGACTACTCAATTGGCACGCTCCTTTCTTGTACCATTCTCCTTATATCTTGTTTGCTATTTGAGAGATCAAGCTATTTCAGTGATTAGGACCCTGTTGCAACCTATTTTACTTTTCTAGCTGACAAATTAGGCCGTGTTCGGCTGGCTGGCCAGCCACCTCACAAAATCACTATTCACGTCATGCCAGAACAGTATTTTCCTCTCACAACAATCAGCCGAAACAGTATTTTTCAGTCCTGCCGAACAGGCCCTTAGTTTCACAATGAGATACTTGTCTGGTGTAGCTTCATTTGTTGTTTGCTTTGGATGTAAGACTCCATTTAATTCTTCAATACTTGTCGTAATTGTTTCTTGAAATATAAATTATCCAAACATTTATCCTGTCAGGAATTTAACTAGATCATTTGGATCTATTGCTTCAGCTTCTTTAACTGAGACAAGTTATACTTGCAGGTGGCCACTTTTATTATTCAAAAGATTATGCTTGATGACGCAGGGCTTGCATATATATATGCTTCTTCTGAACGTTTCTGTGCTGTAGCCAGTGTGCTAGCTCAGATGGTTGAAGAACTTGTTGAACAGCCTTCCCCAAGGTTGCTGAAGCACATAATCCGCTGCTACCTCAGGCTGACAGATGACGGAAGGTTTATGCTGTGTGCTGTATGCTGTATGCAAATTTCGATTTTGTGAAGTTATGCTCATGCTGTCCCTGTTCTTTTGCATGCTTATGCAGGGCCTGCAATGCGCTACGCAATATCCTCCCCACCGTGTTGAGAGACGGGACATTCAATGACTTAATCGAGGTGATTTCACTATTTCATTGTCAGAAGAATGAGTTACCTTTGCTTCCTCAAAGAAGCTACATGACAGCATACACTGCAAACTCGAACCCTTAACTGACTCTGAATCCTTGATGCAACTCTAGGTCGATCTCACGGCAAGGCTATGGCTCCACCAGCTGCTGCATAACATCATGATGATGTCAAACGGTGGAGGCGGCCCTCACCCTGTACTGGGTCGTGCCATGGGGATGTGAATGAAGCTGGTCGCGACAACTTATATCATCTGTCAAGACCCAAGAGGGTGCCTTGTAGTTGTAGGTAGTAAGTAACCATAGGGGAAGCAGTCGTGGTTCACCCTTTTGGAGGGAAAAAGCTTTGTACTGTTTGGATAGCAAAGAGAATAGTACTTTAAGAAAAAGAATAGTACTTTTTTAGCTTTGGAGCTTAGTGTTTAACGTTGTAAAAAAGCCAGCTTAATTTAGCGTCTAGATATGGAAGGAGGGCCAAACTTGGCCGACTTGCAGGCCTCTCTTATGAAGTGTTGCATCTTCTTGTGAGAGAAGTCTAGGCATTGGTCGTTTGAAATTCGAAATAATACATGTAAATTTGCACTGAAGACTGCATGTTTATGATAGGACTCGATCAGTCAGGACTCAGGAGAAGCCACTGGCTTGGTGCCGCTGCCGCGTATCTGTGTTTTGAGGAGAGAACAACAATCAACTGCTCGTTACAGGTGAGTTGGCAAACGGAAATTTAGACTGAAACAAATGTTTGCATTTGTGGGGTGATGCGCTTAGACCTGTAGTACACTGCAAGGTCACGCATGCATCTGGGCTAGGCTGCGTTCTGCATTCTTTGACCTGTGGTCGGAGGCAAGGTGGGGTAGGTGGTGGCCCTTGACACCTCCACAAGGCCGTTTCAGCAGCCACCGGAAGCTCCCGAGCAGCCGCGCTGAGCCGACTCCAGCGGCCAATCACCTCTCTGTGCCTGCCTACGGCTGGCTCACCAACACAGAACACGCCCAGATCGAAATCCAAATTAGATTACTAATACGACCCCCATCAAAAGCACAAAAGTTCAGCAACAACTGGTTTGGATATTAAAAATGTGTTAGCGGTGTTGTAAAAAAAAGTGTTAGCGGCTAATCAACCAACCAGATGGGTTGCTAATCGCGGTTCGCAACGAGTCCCCTGCAACAAGGGGTCGTCCCTTCCGTCACCTCAAGAGCTCACTTTCGCCCTCTATAAACCCGCCTCCCGCCGCCCCCTTCATCCCCAGATCAAAACCCCCGGCTCGGCGCCCCTCGTCCCCCCCCTCTTGATCGGCCATGGCGCCCGCTGCTGCTGCGTCCCGGGTACGCGCGTCCCTCCGGTCGGTGCGACCCCCGCTTCCGCGTCGTGCTCTGCTGACTCGTTCTCTCCCTGTTGACCTGCCCTGCAGGTGGCTGTCTCGGCGCCGGTCTTCGGCTCGGATGGCGGCGCCAGGAGCTCCGGGATCAAGGTGCGTGGCTCTCGGTGCCGGAATCTCGCCCCGTCCGCTGCTTTTTGTTAGGGAATCTTCTGCGATTCGGTCGGCGCTGGGTTGGTAGATGACTAGAACAGTTAACTAAGTAGTACTACTAGATTGGTAACAACAGGGGGTCAGTTCTAATGTTAGATAGTGCTGCTAGATAGGTGCTATTTTCCGCAAATTAGGCCATCGCTTATAAGTCATGCATATCCACGCACATCTTCAGTAATTCAGGGCACTTGCTGCTGAACTCGGTAGTGTTCTTGTCAATCATTCAGTCATTAATGCTGATGATCTTGAATTCACAGCGCTCTCAAATGGGGATAAATTGTTGTCCTAAGATTGGCCTTTCATTGTGCTCTAGGGTAACAACAATGTTGTTAGCTTCGGCAACAAATCCTGGGTCGGTGGCACATTGGCCTGGGAGAGCAGCTCGGTGCGGCCCAGGCACGCGAACAAGGTGCTCTGCATATCTGTCCAGCAGGCGAGCAAGAGTAAAGTCTCTGTTGCGCCGCTCGATCTCGAGAGCGCCAAGGAGCCACCTCTCAACACATACAAGCCCAAGGAGCCCTACACGGCTACCATTGTCTCGGTGGAGAGGCTAGTCGGCCCCAAAGCTCCCGGGGAGACTTGCCACATCGTCATTGACCATGGTGGCAATGTGCCGTACTGGGAGGGCCAGAGTTACGGTGTTATTCCTCCTGTAAGTATTCCCTGCTCTCCATCATTTCCTTTGTCTAAGAACATACTAGTTTTCTTCACATTTGTTGTCATGGTTTCCCTCAGCGTTATCGTATAAAGAACAATTAACTTTACCTTTGTATGGTGCTAAACTGTTAAATATATTATTCTCTACAGATAAATATAGGCATACTGATGTCCTTTTCGAATCTGTAGATATATATTATTTTCAATATACCATCTGATATTGTTATGGTAGGTCAAGTGTATAGAACGTGGTGACCGCGCCCAGGTTCAGTCCAGATTCGGAGTCCTAGTTTCTAGGATCTTGATTTGATTCAGTTCAAGTTGTTAGGCAGGGAGTAATTTTAGGAACTTTCAGTTGTAAGATTGGGCCATATAAGCCAATCAATTAGTCAATAATAAAACAGTCAGAGATTGAGAAGTCTCTCTCTGGCCCTTGAACCCCAGCCGACTCTCTCTCTCGTCTCTGTTTGCCGCCGGCCGTCAGGACGGCGTCGAACGTGCACCACCGCCGAGAGACTCGTCCCAAACCTCCCACGTCCCATAGCTACAACCTCCGGAGCATCACTAACGATCCTAACAGATATACTGTTAGAACATGCTAGAGGCAAAAAACTATTATGGTCTATGAATGACAACATGGCATCTTTGCAGCAAAATTGATTTCGATTAATCTTGAAATGCCATTTTTTATTCATTTCCTTTTATTACCCATCATGTTTTCTCTTCACATTAACACTCTCTGAACCTTGAGTGCATTTTCATCTGTTAGGGAGAAAACCCCAAAAAGCCTGGAGCCCCACAAAATGTCCGGCTTTATTCAATTGCATCGACTAGGTATGGAGATTACTTTGATGGAAGAACCGGAAGCTTGTGTGTCCGCCGTGCAGTTTATTATGATCGTGAAACTGGCAAGGAGGAGCCCTCAAAGAATGGTGTCTGCAGTAATTTCCTGTGCAACTCAAAACCTGGGGACAAGATTCAGTTAACAGGTAACTTCCTGATGGATGAAAAGGCACTCCTGTTTGTTTTTAATGTTTTATGACAGCCTCCTAGTCCTAACTGCAATTAGTTCTTTTTCTTAATGTAGTCCCTGAAATTCACCTGGTAGATGATCTGTTTCTCATTTCTTAGAATCTTTATAATGGCACACTAGAGATGAAAATTAAGACATAGCAGGAAAAAAACCCTGCTTCCAACACATTAAGAAACAGGAAGTCGTTATCACTTATCAGTGTCACAGATTTGAGGCATTCTGATTTAACCATGTGCAGAACATGTTATTGAAACACCCAACAAATGGCGACATTTTTTTTTTGTTACCAAGAAGCAAATATTATCTGTAAATATGACTATGACCCTGCACTCTATTTGTCTGTCCTGTTTTGTCCCACGTTTAGTTTACTTACATGATATGTGATATGTTGCGAAGACTTCTGATTGCCCATATGGTATGCAACAACTATAGGTTTTCTTTTATTTAAAAAAAATGCTTTCTTCAAGTATCTCTCAGATATGCCACTGCTTGTATGGGCATTTATATTTGCCTGCTAGTATGGTTGTTCTTTCAAGTTTATGGAAGATGATGGATGTTGTAGCCTGGAAGCATCTCATATGATTTCATGACCTCAGGTCCCTCTGGCAAAATAATGCTTCTACCTGAGGAGGATCCAAACGCAACCCATGTCATGATTGCTACTGGTACCGGTGTTGCCCCCTTCCGTGGGTACCTGCGTCGCATGTTCATGGAAGATGTCCCGAACTACAGATTTGGTGGCTTGGCCTGGCTCTTCCTTGGTGTTGCCAATTCAGACAGCCTTCTGTACGACGAAGAATTCACCAGCTATCTTAAGCAGTATCCAGACAATTTCAGGTTAGAATAACCTCATCCATAGTAACGCCTCATTTCATTTACTGATGCTATCGTTGCCAACAAGTGTGCTTCATTGATGACTTGGGTGCTTGTCAGTTTGCGTCACCTTGCAACATTATTGCGATTTGGGAGTGCAGTGCAGCAGCACTGAAGTATTTATATCCAGCATATTTGTATATTGCAATATAGTATTGCAAGTCTTTCTGAAACATGTAGGTATGACAAAGCCCTCAGCAGGGAGCAGAAGAACAGGAGCGGTGGCAAGATGTACGTCCAGGACAAGATCGAGGAGTACAGCGATGAAATTTTCAAGCTTCTGGATGGTGGCGCGCACATCTACTTCTGCGGTTTGAAGGGGATGATGCCTGGAATTCAGGACACCCTTAAGAAGGTGGCAGAGCAGAGAGGCGAGAGCTGGGACCAGAAGCTTGCCCAGCTCAAGAAGAACAAGCAATGGCATGTTGAGGTCTACTAGGACTGGAATTATTGTAATTGCAACCCGTAATGCTGTGGGTTAGCATCAGGAGACAAACACATGATTGAAATTGAATCGATGAATGATTCTTGGGGCGGTGTAAAATCACAAGTTCTCTTGATGAGAATCAGAAAATCGCCTTTGTAATTCATAAAGCTTCCGCATCACGGTTATCCGTGGAACGGACCATGTAACTTTCAGCCGTTTACATTTGCAGTGCAGTGCTTTTTGCAGTATTTCTAACTAGAGGTCTCTGTCCAGTTCGTACGCATATGAATCCTGACGACTTGAAAATGTTTAACACATGGCTCCTGGCGTAGCCCAGCGTCTCTCTCTATATGACCTAATTTCACCTGCAGCTTGTCACTTCAATTGAAACGCTTGCATTTCTAATCTTATCAGCAGGGGGAAACAAATAAAGAAAAAAAAAACCTTTGCATTGCTGCCGTTCGCTTGCCCCTTGTGCCCATTCACTGGCCACTCTGTCCCAACGGGCGAGCGGCGATCTTCTGAAGTTCAAATCATGGGCATCTGGCCATCTGCTAGTGTATGAAGTGTATGATACCCCGATACTTCAAGTAGGAGCCGTATCCCGTATCCTATACGCGTTCGATATGTATCAGAGAAGTATCGAAAATAAAAAAAAAAAAAACTGATACTCGAGGCGATAGGTATCAGCCTAGTCACAAGTCGCGCTGATACGACCCAACGATCATGCTCTTTATAATAATTTCCTAAAATCTGAGACTACTAATTATGTTTGTTACCTAATAGAACTTAAGTAGATTCCTAATTGCCTAAGGTGAACTTTCATGTTTATTTGCTGCTGTCTACTACTACCAACTATCTTAGAATTCTGATATGCATTATTGTTAATTTAACTTAAAAAGATAAAAACATATCTGCGTACCAGGTCTTTTTTTTTTTGGAAAAATGTCGTATCCTCGTGTTGTATCCTCCCAATACTTATACGCGTATCCGTATCCGTGTTGCATAGTGTGCTACCTCTGTCACATTCCCTTCTTTTTTCCCCTCGCTTGAACATGTTCCCACTCATTTATATACATCCTCAGCCAACTCCATCACCTTTTGTATACTTCCTCAGTCTTCCAAAAGAATGCAATCCTTACTTTTTAAGTAGTTAATTAAATATTTTTAAATTTAATTAAATCTATGATGCCAAGTAAATATCATTAAATTAATAATAATAAATATTTTTATATTAACCCTATTTAGAGACATGATATTATTTTCTATAAATTTAGTTGAATTTAAAAAGGTTTACTTGGTTTAAATATACAATTGCATTCTTTTTACGTCAGTAAGTAGTTTTAGATGAACATAATTTTTTTTGAACGAGAAAGGCAAGAGACTGCGCCAAATTCTATTGCAAAAGAAGAGTATAAATAAATTAACATAAATATGTCGACAAACAATGTCTGATTGCATTTGCATATAAAAAGTTCCAGCACAGAAACGAAAGTGAGCCATGTCAGTGTCACGCAGGATGAGGTCAGCACAGCACCCTTCCATCCCCAACCTGAAACGGTTTGCGGTCCAGCACGCACGCGCACGCACGGCCCGCCTGCCGCCACGGCACTGGCGGCGTACGATGGATCACGCCCGCCCTGAACCGCCGCGTCCTTGCTGGCCGGCCGACGTCCGCACGGGCGCGCGCTGTCTCACTGGTTGCCTCGTCGGCTCGGCCCTCTTCTCTGCCGCTGCCGCCACGCCCGCCCGCCCGCCCGGCCGCCTCCCCCAACTACTTCCCCCCGGCCCCCGTCCGCTGCCTCATGACCCACCCGGCCGCCACGCCACTCTGCTGATCAGTGATCACACGCGCGCGCGTCCCTATCGCGCGCATTACTCCGCCCGGACTCCGCTTCACTCCTTTCCTTTCCGTTCCCGTCCCCGTCGCCGTCGCTGTCCGCCGCCTCGGTCTCCCACTCCCACTTGCCGCCCGCCCTGCTCGTTGCCTTCTCCTCCGCCTTTTATCCTCTACGGCCCTGTCCTGTCTCTCGCACGGGCCGATTCGCTGGCATGGCAGTTACCTGCCGCTGACTCGCTCTAGTGGTGAGGACCTGCTGCAGTGGACGTGGTGCCACCGGCGAGCGACGGCGGAGCAGCCATGGAGGCGGTCCAGACGGTACGCGATCTGATCCGCCTTTTCCTCGTCTCTTCTCTCTTCTCCCACGCGCGCGCGTGTACGTGTGTCTGCCTGTCATCCCTTTTGTTTGGGTCGGTCTGGAATTCTGAATCGGGCTGTTCATCCGCTCGCTCTCACGTTCTCTTGCGCTGGCTTGATTGTTTCATCCGTTGTTTGTGTGCGTCGGAACAAGATCATATTTACTTTCCACGTTTGTATGCGTTGTTTGCTTATTGGCTGTTCAATTCCAAGTCTTACTTGGTCAAGAATTGTCTGCGGTTCCCGATCAAAAAAAAAAAAAAATTGTCTGCGGTTTTCTGAATTCTCTCACACAATCACCAATCCAGTTGCTCACCGCAACAGCGTTCACTTACTAATTCATCAGAACTACTGTTACTGGAACTGCTGTATATTTTTTTTTTATAAAAAAAAAAAAAACTAGAGCTATCGTGTCTTATTTGTCAGAGTTCTCGCCGGCCGCTCATATGTGTGTTTGAAATCCGATGACTCTGGTCAGGGGATTCAATTCCGGTGGCCACTGGGTTCTAGTTCTAAGCCTAGCATCTTTTCTCATTTTCATGCCCATTATTTCAATTCGATCAGGCTCTCTGTATCAGCAAATCTGATCCCATCATTTGCGTCAACCTGTGACTACATATTCATTCCATGGAATTCCCAGCACTGAAGTCAACACTGAGCCTATCATTCTGATCAATTTGTTCGGTTCACCAGTGTTGTCATCACCTTTCCTATCATCAGATGTTGAACTACACTGAAAAATCTGAATTCTGAATCCGAAAACTTGCTGCAGGTACCGAGTGAGAGAACGAACCCGCTGCCCAACAGGTCACCCAGTCCATCCGGCGTCGCTCGGCTCCAACCTGACGCCGGCAACGGCGCGGGCTTCTACGACGGTTCCGCCTATTCTTTCCTCGACACCACCAAGGCCTGCACCACCCGGTTCAGCAGCGGGTCAGTGACGTCCGAGGACTCGCCGGCGCTGACGCCCAGGCTGCTGTCCTTCAAGTCCAGCTCCAGCCCCGACAACTGCTCCTCCTCCGCCGAATGGCCCGACCGTGCGGCGGCGTCGCGCTCCAACCGGTACCTCTTCGACGCGAACGCGCAGGCCCGGTGCGCCGAGTACCTGGACCTGACGAGGGTGGAGGTGGATGCGCAGCTGGGCAAGCTCAAGGGGGGTGTCACCGGCCTGGAGAGCTATGCCTTGCCGGACAACGGCCGTGTGATCGGAGGTGCGCACCTGGGCATGTCGCTTGATGTCATGCTGATTGAGATTGACGAGAGGTTCAATGCCCTGAAGCTGCTCATGGGTTCCGTGTTCCGGCAGGCGAAGGAGATGCTTGATTCGGTCAACTCGTCGGTGTCTGATCTGCAGTCGGAGAATGAGCTGCAGCTGGAAGTCTTCGGTGCCGTCATCGGAGAGTGCGTCAGTGGCCTGCAGGAGGAGCTAGAGAGGAAGCTGTACGAGCAGATTAACATCACAAACACCATGAGCAGGAATTGGAAAGAGGCCATGACTCAATTTGCCGCCATGCGCGAAGACCTTGGCGCCCTTTGTAAGCTACTACTGCCTTTAGTACCAGAAGCTCATATTTCTAACGGCAAGAATGAAAGTCCAGGCAACAGGAGTAACAGATGGAAGTACAATTTCTTTGGAAAGAAATCCAAAGAGGATCGTTCTCCACGCGCCGAGGACAGCAAGAGTTTCAGGAAGCAAAAATCATTTGGTGCAAAGGATGTGATCTCAGAGAAGTCTGACTTTCGCCATCTCAATGGTATGACTAGAGAGCAAGTGATAAGCTATTTTAAGTCTGAGATCAGCAAACTGAAAAGGATGCACGAATCAGCATTGCAAGAGAAGACAGAAGAACTGTTCAGGTTGAAACGGGAGAAGGGGTCACATTCTCTCAAGAATGACATCGAATTTGAACCTTTGAGAAAGAAAATTCCAGAGATTGTATTGAGAATGGACCAAATCATTTCCAAGAATATAAAGGTACCTGCAATCTGCATGACCCATGATGAACTTGACGAAAGATGCAGACTGATGAGCAGAATCGATGCTTTGTTTTATGAAAACCATCATCTTCGAGGGTTGCTTGCAGATAGGACGAAGGACGTTAAGGCATTATCATCTCAGCTATCTGAAGCCAGTACAGAACTGTCTCTTCAGTTGTCGTCCGAAGAAGAGCTCCTGAGACAAATCGACAAAGTTAGAGAAGACTGTGAGGACCTCCGAATTGAATGTGATGTTAGAGAGGGAATGTACCAAACTGTTACAAAACAATTGCTTGATGACTACAAGGACAATATGGATGGTGCTGCACTAAATAAAAAAAGGGCCGCGACTCGAACATGTGACCTTCCGGTCACAGGCGGCTACCGCTTACACCAGGACAATATGGATGGTGCTGCACTAAATCTTAGTGCAAAATTGTCTTCACTTGAATCTGCAGTCTCTGAAAAGGATAAGGCATTATGTCTATATAACGAAGAAAATCACAGGTTAAAGGTGAAGTTAGCAGAGTTAGAAAAGGAGCGCTTGATCCATGATCACCAGGAAGTTCCAGAAGTCATAAAACAAGAGAGTACAGAAATTGTTCTACGTGACATTGAGGTCGAGCCTCGCACATCGCCGAGAAGATCAAATGGGAATGATTTGCAGTATGATGAGCTTGTGAAACTAAACTCAAGCTTAGAGCAAACATCAGGTGTCCTCAAGGAAATGGACAATACAAATATGGATTGTAGTAGTAGCCTCACTAGGAATGAGCAAGAAAAGCAGCTGGAGTGCATTTTAGTATCTATCATGAAATTATCAAAAGAATTTGTAGAGATTGAGAAAAAATTGTCAGCAGAAAGAACTGAGAACAGGTTTGTTTTTGTCCATCTTCATTGCACATGCTTCCCGGGCATTTTTATTTCCTTTTCAAAAACACGATTCTGATGTCGAGCATGTTCGTTTCAGGTCAGAGGATTTGAGTGATCACTGCAGCCACATGGTCAGACAAGCCGTGGTACTAACAAAAATAGGGCTCTGGTACAAACGAATGATTGAAGCGAGGCGTTCTGAGCTCCAAAAGGCTGAAGCCAAGGTACTTTTAGAATTGAACTTCTGTTTGACTGCAAGAACACGTGATATATAATTACATAAGTTCATCATGCAGAAACTCTGAGATGTTTTCGATGTGATCAGGTTATGATATTGGGCGACAGGATCACTGCACAGTTAAGCCTTCTTCAAAAGATATATTTAACTCTTGATCATTACTCTCCTACCTTGCAACATCATCCTGGTGTAAGTACCTCAGTTGGAGATGGCTTGCATTCTTTGCATCCATGTATTTTGCAATGACCAGTATAATATTCAGAACATCACAAACATTAACATGGTTGCCTTTGTATGCAGCTGCTAGACGCTTTCTTAAAGACATGCAAGCTTGTTGGAGATTTGAGAAGTAAACAGAACGAAGACGATACGACATGAATGGCGAATGAGGTGGCGGTATGTGAGATCTCCCTTGGTAGCTAATGTTCCTCATGTGCTTATCCATGTTTCACATCTGCAGTTGCAGACCAGGTGAAGGATTCTATTGAATTGAGTTTTCAGAATTCAGATCCTGATTTGCTGTATATCTTAGTATCAAGTGAGCCAACAGCTGCCTTGCTGATTTTATGCAATGTAAATGGTAGCTGTTTCTATCTGCAATGATGGCCAGAAATCTGAAACCACGTACAGGACAGAAGATATGTACAGATGGCATTGTGCTCACGTGCTTGTTGGTTAGGGAATAGGGTTGTTACTTGTTTAGTTAGCAGCCTAGGCCATAGAAAAGAATGTATTGGATGATTCTCTCACTCAGACCAAATAGAGAAGATGTTAACCACATTGTAAGCATAAAATTTATCTATCCTCACTCTGTGTTCATTAGTATCTTTCCTCCATCTAGACTGATGGTATGGTATTGCTACTCACTGGACGCGCTCATGGTCAACGCACAGTAGAATATCGGAGACAAAAATAATGGAGAATTTTGCCAAACCGGGGTGGATGTCTTCTGAGTTCTAGTAGGTTTAGTGCTTAGTTTGCTATCCTCCTACTTTATTCCGAAAAGCTGCAACCCGAGCGTCCGGCCCTCTCAAAAATACTGGACGGACTCTAGCTTATCTCAACCACTCATTCTCTACGTTAATTTTTATCCACTTATTTCTCAGCCTTCCACCGACATCTTCTCCGGCTCTACCTCTTCTTCAGACTCGCATCCGCTCGCGACTTGCCCCACTCCATCCCGCCGCGCCCCTTTTCCCCACCGCGCACCGTCCCTTTGCCGCGCCGTGCGCTCCGCCCCACCATCCCATCCCCTCCCGCGCCCTACTCCATCTCGCCTGTCGCGGCCGTGGCATCACCGGGCCACCACCAACCCAATGCCACCCGTAGGAGGTCGTCTCCGGCCTTTACATCATCTCATGCGGTCAGCCGAAGACACCATGGCAAGAAGGGAAGTCCGGCAGCGGAAGTGTACGCTGGGCCGTTGTTCTGGATGCCCTCCTAATCCGAGCTTGCTGGCTACTGCAATTCCCCACCAGGTAGGCCATGGCCGCCGCCGCCGCTGTATTTAAGTGTTTTAGGTGTTTTCAGATATGTTGCAAGCCTATATTTTCAAGTGTTTTTGTCGGATACTATAAAAAGGGGTACTCTAAGTAAGAACCGAAAAAATTGCTTAGACCTTGTAAATAACGAAACCAAAATACAACCGCAAGCAAACCCGCCACATCCAAGGCCCGGCTGGACCGCCCGGCCCACCTCGAACAAATATCCGGGCTCGACCGAGGCCCCACACCGCAAGGGCTCGACCGAGACGAGGTACCGATTCTCCGGCTCGCCCGAGGCCCCACATCGCAAGGCCTCGGACGAGGTACCGATTATCCGACTCGCCCGAGGCCCTGCGCCACGAGGCCTCGGACGAGCACCCGGTTACCGACTCGCTCGAGGCCGGCTCGGCATCAACTCCGTCACCGCCGCCTTGACCGACTTCCCTGACGAGACGTCACATCCAACTAACACGTTCAACCACTCCCGCGACGTCAGCCGCATGACGGCACGGTACAGCAGAGTGGCCGACGAAACAGGAGTCACATCAACCCCATGCTATTCGAGACAGGACGGGGCAGGGGTTACCGGCCGCTGTGCTCGGCACTGTGCCCACGACGGACATCCGTGCCACGCTGTGCTGCCTAACCCCTGCTCAGGCATGGAAAGTCACGTCCGGGTCCCTCTAGCCTCGGAAACGACGTGCGAGGCCAACTGCTCCCTCCGAGCCTCGGGTACCCGCTTTCCGGGCTCCTGTAGCCTCGGGACTCGTGCCCGCCGAGCCCCCCACGACGGTCCAGCCTCTGCATCGAACTGGGCCTCGGCTCTCTACGTTGTCAGCGCTCTGGGACCGGCACGTCGCCCGCAGTACGCGCCATGCCCTGCGTCGGGCTGCAGGTGCTCCCACGTCGTGCACAGGGCCTAGCTCCTGTAGCATTGGAATCAGCATACCCGCGCCATCGCATCAACCCGGTCTCGGCACTCCGCGCCGGTCAAACATATAATGACCAGCACACCTCCAACCGAAGAAGGCGCGCCTGCCATCACAGGAGCTCCCACGTCGCACAGGATCAGGTGTGACCGGCGCGTCGCTCCAGTGCACGGAGGACAAGACCGCTCCATCGACCACGCCGCCACAGTGACAAGCTGCAGGGCTCGGACATGCCGCCCCTGCCGAAGAACGCCACGTAGCAAATGAATGTACCGCCCCTGTGCCTCCCCTCGACTATAAAAGGGAGTGACCAGGGCCGCTTCTAGGCAGGAGGAAACCAGGGCAAGCCACGCACAACACTCTGTAACACGCACACTCCTTCACTGCAAGAGATCTCAAGCAACACACACTGCAATTCACAGAGACCTAGGGCTAGCTCCCTCTCTCGCCCAGTTTGTAAGCCCCTACTACAAGCACCTCGGTGCAAGGAATACGAGATCGCTCCCTCAGCCTGGACGTAGGACACCTATTGCCTGAACCAGTATAAACCTTGTGTCTCTTTGCATCACCATCCGGGATTAGGAACACGTAGTACACTTTCACTAGTCGGTTGAGGACCCCCCGGTCCAAAACACCGACAGTTTCAGTTGTTTTTATATGTACGTTTTCAAGTGTTTCATATGGATGTTGCAAAGTAGATTGGAATGTTGCATATATTGCAGTGGTTGCACACGTATGTTGTAAGCGTTTGTTCCCAATGTTTCATCTGTTTTTTCAGACGTATGTTGCAAGTGTGTATATCTGGATGTTGCATATGTTTCACACATATGTTGCAAGTATTTTATCTGGGTGTACGTATGTTTGCAATGATTTTCAAGTATTTCAGGTGTTTTTGCAAGTGTTTCAGACGTATGTTGCAAGTGTTTCAGCTATTTCTGACGTACGTTGCATGTGTTATATTTAGATGTTGTAAAAGTAGATTGGGATGTTGCGAGCACACGAGAGAAGTGGGCGTAGGCGGTTCCGTGGCCGCAGGGGTCCCCACATGCGTGTAGAAAGAAAAGGCGGGCGAGGGCGGTCCCCATGGAGCGGCGCGTGCAAACAGACAGGCGAGCAGCACAGCAGGCCAGCAGCCACGGGCGTCCGTCGCGCGCTAGCAGTTCCCAACTTACTTCATTTGCTTTTTATGAGCTCTTCAAATCCAGCCAGACGCTTAACTGTAATAATTGATTGGTTGAGTGCAAAAATCATACGGAGGTCGAAGTAAAATTTCCATTTTTTTCTAAGAAAAAGTTTGATGCTGTTGGCTCAAGAGTTATAACTACGATATAAGCATTAGGTAAATTATGGAAGAAACGAGCTTACACATGACAACCTATGTGGAAACGCTGAAATAGTCCATCAACGTTGCAGTCGACGATCTTAAGGGAATTTGTAAGCAGTCTCACATGCACGGTACGACACGGCACGGTCGGGCCCATATTTTATTGCAGTGGGCTTCTAGCCTGTGATCCCCTGCTCGGCCCATTGTTTGAAGGCCCAGTTAATATCCAGGGGAAAAGAGGAGGCAGTGCGTCCGAGTCCGAGTGATAGAGCAAGCAGGGGATACGAGATACGATTATACGCGGCGACTTTCACTCCCGTCCCACAGTCGCCGCCGGAGGCCGCGCGCGCCGCCGTCTCGCCACGGTTCGTCTCTCCCTCTACCTCCGTCCCCTCGCTGAGCTTGGTTTCTGTTCAATTTTCGCGCTCCCTCCCCCTCGCATCTGACACTCGCGACGCGACCCTCCAGAACTGAATCGCGCTCTGTTGATGGGCAGCTTGCGCGCCCCGCCGCCGCCGGCGCCGCTCGTCGGAAGCACTAGGGTTGCCTTCCGTTCTGGGATTCGCTTTTCCTCCGACACAGTCCTCAAATACAGAGGTGCGCGCTTGTTGGTCTATATTTATTTTTTCTGTTGCTGCTCTCCTCCGCCTGGCCCTGCCAGCCACGTGTTCCTAAAGGTTCGTTAGACTCTGTTTCATGGAATCGCGCATTGCTTCCTGATTTTCAGGGTTAACTACCAGTAGCGCGATGAAGTCTTATAGGCTATCCGAGCTCAGCGACGCCGAGTTTAGCGGCCTCAAGGCTCGTCCCCGGATCGATTTCTCGTCCATATTTGGCACGGTGAGATGACACCGAGATTACTGATGGTGTTGAAGTCCAGTATTGTCTCATTTCATAGCCTGATAACCATGAGATTCTGTCCTGTGCAATTAGGTGAATCCAATCGTTGAGGATGTCCGTGTTAGAGGTGATGCAGCAGTTAAGCAGTAAGTGTTGCTGTTATGGATGGCCTTTTCTTGGACGACATGGTAATTGTGCTTAATTTTCTGGGTTTGGTTTTTTCAGCTACACAGAAAAGTTTGACAAGGTTACGCTCGATGATGTTGTCGTTCGTGTTAGCGATCTTCCAGATGCAGAGGTAATTGTCCTGTTATCTGCAACTGAGTTCTGCAATTCATTAGTTCAAATCATGTAGTAGGTAAAAATTTGATGTTGCTCCACACATCATGTTGTTCCTTCTCTTTGGACTTTTGGTCTGATGTGATGCATGTCCATGCAGTGTTGAACATGTTTGTCTAGGATGACATGTTATAAGATTGCTAGTTGCTTATTTCTTCAATAGCATCTTCCAACTCTAGCTTTATCTACTCGCAATCAGAGTTTGCTAATCCTTACAAATATGTTCAACTGATGTTAATAAGTTTAATTTAAATTTGTTTAACTGCAAATGGTGCTTATGTATATGTTATTTCCCCTATTCGTGAGTTTGGTTGTCTTACCTACATAAATACTGTAGCTTGATCCAGCTGTGAAGGAAGCCTTCGATGTTGCATATGACAACATATATGCCTTCCATGTTTCACAAAAATTACCCGAGAAGACAGTTGAAAATATGAAAGTAAGAGATGGCTCAATGTTTCCATTTGTAAAGTTTCACCTTTTCTATACACTCTACATTAATTACATATGCCCTTTTCGTCAATATATGAAGGGGGTAAGATGTAAGAGAATAACAAGGTGCATTGGTTCTGTCGGGCTGTATGTCCCAGGTGGCACTGCAGTCTTGCCTTCAACTGCATTGATGCTTGCTGTGGTATGCTTGCCTCTACTCAAATTCTCTCAACTGAATTAATTTAATTAATTCACTGTTTGAAGCTTTTGAAGGGCGGGCCTGGTGCAAGCGGTAGAGTCTTACCGCCTGTGACCGGAAGGTCCCGGGTTCGAGTCGCGGTCTCCTCGCATCGCACAGGCGAGGGTAAGGCTTGCCACTAACACCCTTCCCCAGACCCCGCACAGAGCGGGAGCTCTCTGCACTGGGTACACCCTTTTTTACTGTTTGAAGCTTTTCATATAGTTCTTCTTTCTGCCAGCCTGCACAGATTGCTGGATGCAAAACTATTGTTCTTGCCACACCACCTAGCCGTGATGGTAGCATATGCAAGGTACACTTGAGGGACATGAAACTGCACCAGTATTCTTTTTTTCAAATAATTGTTGATCGAGCACTATATACTTGTCTTGTTTCCTGCAGGAGATTCTTTACTGTGCAAAGAAAGCTGGTGTGACACACATATTGAAAGCCGGAGGAGCTCAGGTACTAGAATATTTTGAGATTGTCTTGTGCTTCATTATTTAGTTCAGTGCTCTTAATGTTGTTTACTTTCAGGCAATCTCAGCAATGGCATGGGGAACTGTGTCATGCCCAAAGGTATTTGAAGTATATAAACCTATCGATTACATGTTTAAAATCAGTAGCAATCTTTTGTGTCTATATACTGGCCTTTATTTAATATATTGCCTTGCTTGTTAAATAATTCTCATAGAACTTAATAAACTGCAGCATTTTTACTGGGCATGCCCTGCTCTTAGTGCTTTAAACTCTGCCCAAAACAACTGTTAACATATGGAGATGTTGACTCACCAAGTTCCACAACAATTATTTATGTTTTCTGTATTGGGCTGTTGGCTATGGACTCTGATTCGATCGCATAACTTTTGGTAACTTTGTTACTGCGTCCGCAGGTTGAGAAGATTTTTGGGCCTGGTAACCAGTATGTAACAGCTGCTAAAATGATTCTTCAGGTTTGTTCTTTCATTGTAAAAGTTTACCATTATCTTCTTTGCCAAGATATCTTTTCTATGTTCAATTGTTTTTGTGGTCCTCGCATTGCATAGGCGAGGGTAAGGATTGCCACTGACACCCTTCCCCAGACCCCGCACAGATCGGGAGAACTCTGCACTGGGTACGCCCTTTTTTTTTAATTCTTCTTTGACTGCAGAACAGTGAAGCTATGGTATCTATAGACATGCCTGCTGGCCCTTCTGAAGTTTTAGTCATTGCTGATAAATATGCAAACCCAGTTCATGTTGCTGCTGATCTGCTATCTCAGGTATTCTATTTGTTGCCCTGGTATGATCTGCATTGCTAAATGTGTTCATGTTTGCTATTTAAAAAACTGAATCTTGAGAATCCTTCATACATAGAGAGGTTGTTTTATGATGCTGAATTCCCTATTGTCGCACATGTTCACAATGTATGTCATTACAGTTAGCTAGTGAAATCTTTTGTAGGCAGAACATGGCCCAGATAGTCAGGTTGTTCTAGTTATTGCTGGAGATGGTGTTGATTTGGGTGCCATTGAGGCAGAAGTTAGCAAGCAGTGCAACGCGCTTCCAAGAGGTGAATTTGCTTCAAAAGCACTTAGCCACAGCTTCACTGTGTTCGCTAAAGATATGGTTGAGGTAATTTTTCACCCTTGCTTCCTGCAACGGATGTATCTATGCTGCCCATTTGTGTTTTAAGTGCATTACCATTCTACTGTGACCTCAGTGCCTTCCAATTCTGCTGGATATTTCCAAGGAACTTTGACATTTGTTTCTGCTTTTTGCAGGCGCTATCATTTTCGAATCTGTATGCCCCTGAGCATTTAATCATCAATGTAAAGGATGCTGAGCAGTGGGAGGAGCTTGTCGAGAATGCAGGTAGGCATATTTTTTTCATTAGCTTTGGTGTGCTCACATTGATCTTCATATAGATGCTACCCCATGGCACATATATCTCGAATTCTCGATCTGAATATTTGGTTTCCATATTTCAGGGTCAGTTTTCTTGGGCCAATGGACCCCAGAGAGCGTGGGCGATTATGCAAGCGGAACAAACCATGTCCTTCCAACCTATGGTTACGCGAGGATGTACAGTGGTGTATCACTGAACTCTTTCCTCAAATACATTACAGTCCAATCCCTAACAGAGGAAGGACTGAGAAAGCTGGGTCCATTCGTCGTGAAGATGGCCGAAGTGGAAGGGCTAGAGGCGCACAAGAGAGCCGTTACCCTCAGACTGCAAGAGGTTGAGGCCACTGTAACCGTCTAGCTGCTGTCATGATCCATTGTAATATTCAAACTCGGTGTGGGATTTTGGAATTCTTCCCTATTCCTACAGGAACTGAACTATGGATGTCTTCCAAACAGGCTCTGGAATGTTAGAAAGAGGCGTTTCAACTGGTACAACAAATAATGCTCATTGCAATCTGAAATGTTTCTCGAATAAACTGAGCAGAACTTATTGTATATGTAGTGTTCTCGTATTAGTTATTTCCCTAGTTGCTTCTGCACCAATTTTTGGATTGTGCATGTGCATCCAATGTGTTTCAAACAGACTGGCAAGCATGTATAAGAATCTGATGGAAAAGAAACAATAAAATGGCATCGAGCAAAGAGATTTTCGGCAGCAATGCAGTAAGAAAAAGTCTATTTGTCACGCTCAAAGTATAAATTCGGATATGTATACCCTAAACTGTTTAATACCAAACAAATTGGTTTTAACGGCGGTTTAGTCCGTGATGGGATAAATTAAACTACAACGACATTTCAGGGATCAAATAACTTTACTAAAAAAGTAATACAAGTACTCCGTAAAAAATTATATGTTATTTTGATTTTTCTAAATATATAATTTTATACAATATGTCGGGACATGAAGAGTAATTTTTTCAAAAACCTATCCAAATATTATGGACCGCAGTCATTTCAAGCCATCCTGACTCCCGGTGCCCTCAACGAGTCTGCCGTCACACCGAGGCCCCGACTCGTACCGTCGGACGCCCGATTCCCTCCGCCCGCCTCCGCCTCCGCGCCGGACCTGACGTCTCTGCTCGCCGCCGAACGCCAGTCGGGGCCGGCGGCGCGCGTGCTCGACAAGGAGCCCAGGCTGCCAGGTCGGTACCGCGGCCAGCGGGCGCCAGGTGACCAGGCCACCAGCCCTCCGGCGACCGCGACCTGACTCCAACACTGGTTCAACCACTCCGTCGTGTCGATCCGAAGCTCAACGGCGGCGGCCGGTGGGATAGGGCGGAGGCGCTGAGGCGGGAGACTGGACCTGGACTGCGCGAGGTAGGCTGGGCGGCGGCGGAAGGAATCACCGATGGGTGATGCGCAGGCGGCAGGGGAGGGTCCGCGCTGCGTTGGATGCGGCGGGCGCGTGAAGACGCTCTTCGTGCAGTACTCCCCGGGAAACATCCGCTTGATGAAATGCGTAAGCCACGCGAGTGCCCCTGGCCTCACGAGTCTCTGCACCGTTCGTGTAATCCTTTTTTATTTCTGCTTGTGAGCCATCAAACTCTCTGAATAGTGAATACTGCTACCCTTGTTGTGCCTACTAGGATAAGTGCAAGGCTGTTGCTGATCCCTACATCGAGTGCGAGTTCATGGTACGGTGATCGATGAACCATGCCTTGCAGCTTTGTACTAATTTCGGATGTGTTAGCTGCACTTGTCGTAGGATGCTTGAGTGGTTGACTGAAGTGTTGGCATCTGCTTGTTCCTTTCTAGATCATCTTGATTGATCTCGTCCTGCACAAGACAAGGGCGTACCGCCATGTTCTGTTTAATAAGCTGAGCATGGGATCATCTGTTGACAAGGTATGAATCTATGCTTTCCAGGCCGTCTCTGATTGCTGTCTCACATTCGTGCAAACATCAAATTGTGCTTGGCTCATACTGCAAACATGGAATACCACCATTTTTTTGCTGGTCTCGTAGTAGTAATGCTCTAAGCATTTATGCATTCACTTTGGCTTGCCTTACCTAATCTGTGTGAAATAATTGTTACTGGAGATGCCCACTTATAGAGTAGTTAATGTATGGATGAGGCTAAATATGGTTTGGTCATCGTTATTCATGCTAAATTGACAGGACCCACAAGTGCTCTCCTTTCTACATTAAAGCAAAGCATTTACTTCTTCCGTATCTTCCCCGCTTCAATTTTATCTTGTGGAGTAACACAAGCTATCAGGATGGTGACAGTATAACATCGTCAATGCTGTGCCCTGTTCCATTTTACTCAATAATTCCCATGCTTCTGGTTGAAGAACTGAAGCTTTGCTTTCTGCCGTTTGCTAACGATGGCATTCCTGATTCACTGACACTAAAGCCTTTTGTGACTTTCTGACCCTTCACAACAGCATACAAGAACCAATTTGGCATAAAAAAATGTTTTCTATTCGTATAGGTTTTAGATGAATAGTTTGGCAAATCTTGTTGTAATATGCTCTCATCTTGTAGTGATTTCATACCTTCCCTTCAAGAACTTATTTGGTGGGTACGTCTTCATGTCCATCTATAATTTGATTCATTTTCTAATATGCCTGTTGTGTTCTGGTTTGCAGGGAATACTTTACCGGTCTACTTTGATACATATTGCTCTTGACGCATGTATCCATAGAATTCATAAATTTTTACTTTGATTTTGGTTACTATGAACCATCTGCCCAACTTAAACAGTCCATAACTATGTAAGTCAGAATATCTTTTTCGAAAGGAAACAGAGCTGATGGGGCTTCTTCCAGGAGTATTTTCTCAACAATTTCCAATTGCACTGAGGTGATTGCAGTTAACAGCATTCAAATATATTTTTTACTACACATTGTCGTAACAATGTGACCAACATTTTGTTGCTCTCCAGGTTATTGGCGACGCATTGTTGGGAAACATCATATTTATGATCATGTTACTCCTGGGAGTGCGATTTATTCTCAAATTATCTTTCGATATTATAAGGTACAAGTATAGCATAACAAGCTCTCTTCTTGTTAGAATAAAACATTTGTTGCTATGAATGGGTTCCTGAGTGTTCTTGATGGGATTTATGCAGCTAGTAGAGATCACGTAACAGTTTAATAGTTTCATAATTCATTTCTGTTCTATTTACATTTTTAGTATTTCTTATTTATTTGCGATTTGGTTTGCTTGTCCATGAAATTTATTTGTAATAACAATTACTCAGGTACAGGGATGTTTTGTTCGCTGTCATCATTTCAAGCTACTTCAAGTTGTTTCTTTTCACAATGATGGTATAAAAGATTTCTATGTATTAATTGTTTCTCTTCTAAGCATACCTGCCATTTTATTCTTTCTGAATTGAGTATGGATATTTGCAGGTTTGGGAGTTCCCATCATCTGTTATATTCATTGTTGAAATGTTTGTTCTCTCATCAAATGTTGTAGCCCTGAGAGGTACACACAGCACTGCACATTTTCCCCATGAATATATTCATTCTCCAAATGTTTTCTAGTCAGTAGGAGGCATATATACATGAACAACAGTCTTGGTAAGTACCGCACGCTTCTTGCATAATATAAATTGAAACATTTATCTGAGTATTGCCTAGACGTTTTCTAGCTGTAAGGATTCTTACACATCAATAACATTCATGGAGCATAGACTGTGGATAGCATAGATAATTATGTTAGGGTTCTGTGTAGCATCAATTGACCCCATACGAACGTATATGGCATGGTTAGATGGAAAGGCCCTTTCTGTAATCAAGATCTCTACTGATGGGATCAGACAGATGTCCTTAGTTCTGACATCAAATGATCAAGTCTATGGCATGCTTCCTTGTATCCTATATAATTGTTCTCAGCATCTACAAGTTACGTCTGCTAGAGCTTTCTGAAGTCTTAGTGAACTAGTTACTTGGGGCGATTGATGGTTTCTTTTTTTTTTAACTGAAACTGTGACGGTTCTATTTCTTTTTATTTAGGTGTAAATTATGTTTCTTTGCCGAACAGTAAACCTGTTCAATGTTGTGTGAACTGAGCATACCTTTTCTTTGCAGTTGTTTCGCAGTTTCCAAAAGCCCACTGCTTCGCGGTCTGCTTACTAGCGCATGCAGCAAAATACTTGACCCAGTGATGGATCCTTGGAACGCCTTGAGCCTGAACAAGTCCAGACCATCCTCGAGCTTCAAGCATGGCCCTAATCTACATATGGACCGTCCTGGTGCTTCTAGCGACGCCTAGGTATACTGTGCCCTGATGGTGAGCTCTGATGGTTGGATGCTGGCTTCTCGAGCCTAGGATGCTTGTTTGCGCTACTCACGAACGACGTGGTCGCTTATGATGTCGCGACATTGTTAGGTGTATGATACAACGACTGTATTCCTAAGTTTGGTCTGTAGTAGTAGGCTTGCCCGTGTTGTCTTGTCCCCCCTCCCTGTGAGTAGTTGAGCTGTAGACCATGCTGGAATTGCACGGCCTTATGGCATCTGTGCAGCCCTACACCGGTTGTTCAACAATATTTTCCATGTTGTACTTGTGGCAAAGACGGATATGGCATCTTTACTCGTAGGTAGTAGCTGCTGAGTGTTGTGTGGTTGGTTTGGTACTTGGTCCCTTTACCCTACCAACGGCCTACGTAGCCTCAGCATCTCCTGCAGCTGTGCTCCAGTGACCAGTGGAGCCTACCGCTACCACTTTGTGTTGGACTGCAATTCACATGCACTACGGCAACAGGAGTTCTCGGTCTCAGATAGTCAGATTCAGGCTCCCCGAATCCGATCAGGTGTGTTCTGGCTCGCTCTGTTTTTTTAATAACCTTGACCAACCTGAACACTGGCATCGCCTGCCTCTCCGTGCACCGACAATATTGCATGCGTTTGGTCGTAAACGATCGTAAATTTTTAGCCAGAACAGTGTTTTTCTCTCTACACTAAACCAGCCAGCAGTAAATAATCCACGATCGTTTACGGCCTCCCGAACAGACTGAATGGCTGCCTGTTGTCTGAACCATAAGTACATTACATTGTGCGATTACTTGTCATGAAGTGTTGAGGTGATGGGTTACTGGGACTGAGCCCACCTGGCCACATTGTGGTCTCTAGGCATTTACTCTGTGAGGCCGACGCATGGCTAATGACGGTTGTGTGTCTACCTGAAAGCGTTTTCAGTCTAATGATGATCATGATTGTGTACTAAGAATGCACCGACTAGTTTGCTGAAAAGCAGCTTAGTGTGTGTAATGCTCAGTTTATATGTGAGTTCCAAGTGCATCTCACAAGGATTGAGGGGGCACTAAGACTAGTTGGAGAGAAATTTACAAGTCTGACTAAATTTTGCCGGCCATCCTTGACGTGCTTGAGCATGCACCAGACAATCACCTGAAAACTAGAACCGACATTCATGGTTTTGGCAGCAACATCTTTAGGGAGTGCTGGTTCTAATGGTGTCATAGCGAAAGCAGAACCTTTTATAACAGAGCACTATGACTTGTCACATGGAAAGCGGTGACCAAAAGGAGGAGCTTCCTCTAGTTGTGCTTAGAGCAAAGTCATCTACAAAAGTGCTTAGAGAATTGGCTGAGTAATTTCAGTTAATATGATGCGATCAAGGTAATAAATAGCGTATAGCGGGTTAGTAGCGGATTGACGTCGAGGTAGCGGATTGTGGATAGCGGGCGATATTGCGGACGATAAGTTCCAATAGTGACATGATAATCCCACATAAGTTTAAGTACATATATCATAAATAATGAGTATAAATAGACATTTAATTACACTCAAAGAACGCCTAAATCTAGACCTAGAGGCTACAACCGATGCGTGAGTGTGTTTGAGTTGGGGGTGTGAGTCGTAGTGGGCTGGGCTGATTAGGGTTATTTGTTTCCACGCTATTGCAGCCTGCATGCAATTGCGACCGCAATATCGCCCCGCTATTTAGAATTGCGGCGCAAAATTCCAGGCTACAAAGTTCAGAGCGCTATCTCATAGCGGTAGCGGCAATGAGCCGCTACCGCTATTACGGCCGCAATTGCGGCCGCTACCGCCGCTATTTATTACGTTGGATGCTAGTCATTTGTGATATCTAAAGCGTCACGTTTATTTGCATGGAGATCTCCTCTGTACATACTTTCTTTTCTCTTGATATATACAGGAGTACATATAAAAAAAGTCAAGTATAGAAAAAAAACTAAAGCCTACTTTTTTGCCTCCTAATCCAAGCTTTCATTTCATTTAATTAGTCGCACGTACGGTCAGGCGAGAGTTATTGTTAACTAAAAGGCCATGCATGATGTGGCCAACCAAGCAAGATGATGATGATCAGGTTGGTTTCAGGTAGTAGGCAGGGGACAGGAGCTGCTTAATGAAGCTGATTAACGCGCGCTTTTGGACGTAATCCGCGCGCGCGTGTAAATTAAAGTCCACGTCCCTGATCATTGCTGGCCGGCCTTGTTTGCTGCAGTTGCGAGTCGCCGTCGTCATCGCGCGCGGCTCCACTTCATTGACAAGTGGAGTACGTGCTACGTGCGCACTTCAGTTCTTGTTTGTTGTTTCTATACGTACTAGCGCTCTAGGAGTAGATAGCTAATAGCATCCCATTTAGTTTGGGAGTTAATTCCCCTTACATTCCAAAATAGGATTTTTGTACATCTGTTGTTATCCATAAGAATAGTAGAGATTTAAAAGCCCAGTGTTTGGACAACCAACTGCCAAACCAGATAGCATTAGCCAGCAAGAACATTCTGTGTGATACTGCAATCTCATGCTCATAGTAAACATAAATGGAATATGATAGGGGTTCAAAGGGAATTAAAATGGATGACATGAGAGCACACAAAAACATAACTTAAAGCCTTGCTATATAGGAAAGATTCATGATAAAGTTTTGATAAGTAGCTCCACAGAGTGTTACAACACCAGGTAACACAGTACAACTTTTTATTTATCATCCAGTACATATAGGGGCAGGAGCTTAAAAGGTAACTAACAAAAGATAACTTGTGCACTGTCTCAGAGACAAGTATACATAAAACTACTGTCTTCCATTCAATCATCAAGGTTATCCTTCTTTAGGAAAGCAACTGAGACACTCTTAGGCTGGATCTTCAGAAAACCTGTTGCTATGCCTTCCAGGATTTGTTTAGAGAGGTAGGGAGCAGTAGCATCGCCTGAGAGGCCTGGTGGGATGACTCCCTGCGGCATTGGCTGAATGTTGTCATCAACAGCTTCTTCAACAACAGTTTCCTCGATTCCTATTGCCTTCTTGGCACTTTCAGCATCCTTGTAGCCCCGTAGCTTGAAATCCTCTTGCTCCTCCTTAGAAAGTTGTCATCTAGTTTCTCCTACCTTGAAAGCTTTCTTCTTCCTTGGTGTCATGTAGATTGGAGGGGAGTCAAACATCTCAATGTCAGCATCATCATCCTTCTCAACCTCAATTACTTCAGTGTCATCCTTTTCCTCAGCTTCCTTTTCTTCAGTGTCCATGTAGTCTATGGCCAACTTCTCCAGTGCATTATCTCCAAGCTGAGGAAACATGATAAAAGCCAGATGGACTAACAAATGAGAATCATTAAAATAAGGAGGTATGGGAGTGTTATGATCAATGTCTACCAAGGTAAGATGCTTGAGAAAAATAGGGGATGGATTGACAGTGATGAAACATAATACCTGTTTGATGAGTGAAGGCACTATAGCAACCAGAGGGTCCTTGGGGTCTCTTGGGAGAGATGGGCCGACTATCACAGTCCTGAAAGTTGGCATAGATGCAGTCCCATTGGTGCCAAAGAGGGAGACTTTGCTTGTCCTAGGGAGCTGAAACTCTTCAGCCTGAAACCTGGTAGCATGACTTGGGGCAGCAACGTCAATCCCTTTACCTTTCTACAGTTCTGAAGGGGCAGTGCATTGCATCTACTGCTTGAGTGTCTTCCAGAGCTGGATCTTGCGGTACTAGATGCTGCATCCACCTGCTCGGGCCACCAGCATCCATGTGCATAGCTGAACCAATATTGACACCACTAGTGTTGCATCTGAGCTATTGGAGTGTTCCATACCTAACCATTGTGGTGCTTGGGGTGGGACTGGGTGCAGGGGACCCACTGTAACAAAAGCCTCTTCCTCAGGTGGTGTATAAGCATTCTTCTTTTTCAGAACGAAACAGGGCACAGTCCAAGAGCGATCTTTCTATGGGAGCCCTGCATTAACCTTGACCGAATCGGGTATCTTGGTGTCATCATTCAGATATACCTTTGCAACGACCCTAGCAAGGTTGTCAGTCTCATGCCAGTAAACTAAAATCCCAAACCCAGACACAGCTTTGGCTATGACAACACCATTCTTCAAGTCCTCTGGAAAACCCACAAGCATAACCCAAGCGTCTCTATCCAAATCAAATGAACGTGCATTGTCTCCCTCATCATGTTTATGAACAGACATGGTATAGCACCCAAAGCTAAAGTCTGGGCCTAGAAACCTTTCTCTTTCTAATGCAGAATTAAAGCGAACATAGGCATCACCCATAGGGCAAGGTTGGATCTCTACAACTTGAACCTGATGCATATCCTGGAAGAAGGTGCGCAGAGCGGTGGCCAGGCTTGCGAAATCATCCTTGGACGGATGGCTGGAGCTTCACGATCGCCATGTCCTCGTTGTAGAGCGTGTAGCACCCGGACACGAACACTTCATGGCGAAGCGGCGGGCACTGTACCGGTTCCACCAGCATGAAACCCCGAGGGACATGCGAATGAGGGTCGACCACCTAGTTCGCCATTGGAACGGAGGGATTGAGTTTTGCACTGTTGATGGAAGCGGGGTGGAGGGAGGTGGAACAGGGGCGGATGCGTCGAGGGGAGCAGACACACTCTAATATAAAGGCGCTCCACCAGCCCCTTCGTCTTCCAGCACAGGGATGGCCCGATATCGACGATGATTGCGGGCTTTAGAAAGGCAAGCTGCAGATTTGTGTCCATAGTTGAAGCATGATTGACACCTTACCAGATTCATACATGCCTTCCTTGTGTGCCCAAAGCCCAGACACTTGGAGCAATTGATGGCGGTAATCTCGGGAGCATGGGCCGGGCTCTGATCATTAGGAGACGTTGGCAGCCCAGGGGGAGGATTTGAATTTGAATTTTGCGGGATAGGCTCTCCCCGCATTGATGTCGCCTGTTTATGAGCAACATTACTACCCTGATCTTTAGGCCTCCAGCAAAGAACACGCTTGGATGCATGAACATTGGATTTAGCCATAGAAATAACCTTTGGATCTAAGGCTGGGGATTTTGGAGGAACAACTAAATTTTCCTTGAAATTCAAATGATAATTCCTTGGATAATTGAACCTGAGAAACACAGGTTTTTTCTGACAGGAGAGGGGTGTGATCCTAACTTGGACAAAGAAGAACGAACGACATCGGCAAAGCTTTTCTTAGATTTAGATCCAACCAAGGTCCATTCGGCTTCTTGTTCTAAGCACCGAAGAGCATGATCTCGGCGCCAATTAGGGCCACCTCTACCCCAAAGAAAGAAATAGACAGCAAACTCTTTGCAAACAAAACTCTTGAGGTCGTAAACCATGAAGCCCACATCCTTGCAACTAATAGAGAAGCAAAACATCCAGCCGGAGAGGTGGATGACAGAAACATCCAGCCGGAGAGGTTGAAATCACGTGCCTGGCCACCAATGGCGGCTTGTAAGAGGAGCCCAACAGAATCCTCGTTGAGGCGTATGGCTGACCTCCCAAAACTAGCAACCAGGAGAAAAGGCGATGCAGAAGTCAAGCACGGTGGACTCACCGGGCAGCTGAAGTGCTGGGCTACCAGCCTACGTCCAGCGTTGTATTGTAGGAGTACTCCTATCACTTTGCCTAGTACTAGTACAGGAGTGGCTAGTACGGAGTAGTACTAATATATTGTCTAGTGGTACCACCACCATGCACGTACATACAGATCGCCTGTGCCGCCGGTATGGCCGGCCGGCGACATGCATATGCATGCACGCACCTAGTACGAGAGGAGATCGGAGCTGAGGGGTGTGGTGCGTGCGGCAACTAGCGCGGCGCTCACCGACCCGACGCGCCCGCCCGGATCAGACGACGACGTCGACGGCCGTGCAGTGCAGCGCCCGGCGCGCATCCCGCCGGCCGCCGTACGTATACGTGCGACTCGTCCCGCCGGCCGGTGCACCCCCACGCATGCGCACTGTCTGCTCCTAGTAGGGTTCGTTCAACCATCGCACCACGGACCGGAACATCAACCGCGTGTAGCAGTTGTTGTAAAAAAAAAACACGTGTGTAGCAGCGGCAGCCCGGCAGCGGAGCCTGCCTCTGCCTGCATGCACGTGCGCGCTACAATCAAGCAATGACTGAAAGTACTGTTGACTGATTTGTCATAAACAGAACGCTGAATGGTAGCTAGTCCATTCAGTTCAGGTCCTCCGGGTCCGTGCAATGCAATGCAAATGCAGCGGCGAACACGGCAGGAAACCGTGCACTCCTACGAGAACGTACGCACGCGAGTTTGCACGCCCCCACCCCCACTCTTCACTCCACGGGAACCAACCCGCCAATTAAGGGGGTGATTTACCTAAATTTTAGTCGTTGTTCCATCGAATGTTTGGACACACGGAGTATTAAATATAGACTAATTACGAAACTAATTGCATAATTTGTAACTAATTTACGAGACGAATCTTTTAAGTCTAATTAGTATATGATTTGACAATGTGGTGCTACAGTAAATATATGCTAATAATGGATTAATTAGGCTTAGTAAATTCATCTAGTGGGGTACTGACAAATTATGTAATTTATTTTTTATTAGTATCTGAACACCCATTCAACACCCTCGTCAAACACCACCTAATTCCCCTGCACTGCCACGGCGCCGCCGTAACTACTGCTCCTCTCCGATGATCCCAGCAGGGAATAAAAACGATCTACAGTGCGCGTAATTACCGTGCTATTGGTGGTCAACGCCACGCGCCACCGCGCCCCGGGTCAACGCCACGAACCCACGCGGGCGGGGCGCCTATATAAAACGTCTCTACTCTCCGCCCCGTGCAAGTGCCAACTGCCAGAGTGCTCTCCACGCCCGCACGCACGGCCGGCCCGCCCGCCCGCGGCAAGACAGACCAGCGGCGAGCGAGAGCGCAGGGGGGAAACGAACGGGAGATGGAGGTGGCGAGGGCGGTGGACCCGGGGGCGGGTCTGGACGTGGACAAGCTCACCTACGAGATCTTCTCCATCCTCGAGAGTAAGTTCCTGTTCGGCTACGACGACCCCAAGCTCTTCGCGCCGGCCTCCGCGGGGGCCTCGCCGTCGCCGGGGACGGCCTCGGCCGCCGCGTCGTCGTCGGGGAAGGCGACACCGATCAGGGCATCTCCAGCGGCGGGGACGAAGGTCTGCGTACTGTCGATCGACGGCGGCGGGCGAGCCGCGGACGGGCTGCTGGCCGGCGCGGCGCTGGTGCGGCTGGAGGCGTCGCTGCGGCGGCGCACGGGGGACGACGGCGCCAGGCTGGCCGACTTCTTCGACGTCGCCGCGGGGTCCGGCGCCGGGGGCGTGCTGGCGGCCATGCTCGTCGCGCGGGGACCCGACGGCCGCCCGCGCTTCTCAGCGGACGACGCGCTCGCGTTCCTCCTGCGCAGCCTCCGCCGTGGAGGTGGCGGTGGCGGCTGCTGGTCCGACGCCCAGAGCCGCCAGGGCCTGCGGGGGCTGTTCCAGTTCCGCCGCCCGGGCGGCGGCGGCGGCGCCGCGGTGTTCCGGAGGGTGTTCGGCGACCTGACGCTGCGGGACACGGTGCGTCCCGTGCTGGTGCCCTGCTACGACCTGGCGACGGCGGCGCCGTTCCTCTTCTCGCGCGCCGACGCCGTGGAGACCCGCGCCTACGACTTCCGCCTCCGCGACGTCTGCGCCGCCACGTGCGCGGGGTCAGCGGTGGTGGAGGCCCGGGCCTGCGACGGGTCCACACGCATCGCCGCGGTCGGCGGCGGCGTCGCGCTCGGGAACCCCACGGCGGCCGCCATCACGCACGTGCTCAACAACAGGCGCGACTTCCCGCTCGCCGCCGGCGTCGAGGACCTGCTCGTCGTCTCCATCGGCAGCGGCGAGGCCGACCAAAGAGAGAGGGAGCGGGAGCGGGGCGCCGCCTCCACGTCCCAGATCGTCAGGATCGCCGCCGAGGGCGTCGCTGACATGGTGGATCAGGCCGTGGCCATGGCGTTCGGACAGAATAGGACAACCAACTACATCCGCATACAGGTCAGTGCAGCGGTCTCGCCCGTGCCGGGTCGCTGTCCTCTTCTTTCACTGTGCTCTGCTCGTTCCAGTGCAGAGTAATCTTGGTACACACTGACCCACTCCCTCCTTTTGCCGGCGACGCCCGCTCATTTGCATGCAGGCGACAGGGACGCCGCGAGGATCGAGCCGTGGCGCGGCGGCGGCGGCGGAGGCGGAGGAGATGCTGGCGCAGAGGAACGTGGAGTCGGTGCTGTTCCGCGGGAAGAAGGTGGCGGAGCAGACCAACGCGGAGAAGCTGGAGCGGTTCGCGCACGAGCTGGTCAAGGAGCGCGACCGGCGCAGGGCCAGCGCGAGCCCCGTCGCGGCCCCGGCCGTCGTCAAGCACCACCAGCCGTCGGCGGCGCCGGCGTCGTACTCGAGCCTCGTCAGCCACACGCTCGCGAGCATCATGTAGGCCAGCAGCCAGCAGCCAACGGAATGGGCCCGCCCAACTGAGACCAGGTGTTTAGCCTGCCTGCTAGCTCTGTTCCTGTCCTGCGCCATGTCGATTCTTCAGTTTTGTATGTAAAAATGCAGGCCAGTTTAATTCTGTAGTGTAATCCGTATCCTCAGCTCAGCTGTATGCATGTATCTTGAGAAAATGCTAGCTCGCGCACAGCTTGTGAGTTTGAGCAGAGCTCTGAGCCCCTGACTGTGAACAAACCAACCCTGGATGTGTTGGATCTTGGAAAATAATACAGGCCACCAAGTAGCTGGTAATCAGGACTCAGACTGTCTCTGGTGGTGTGTGGGTCTGCCTGTGTTTAGCTTCAAGGCAGGTAAATATTGCAATGATAGCTGATGCGAAGCATAATAAGTACGGAGTACTTAACAAAGTACTAGATGAAAGAAACTCGAGTGATTATAGAAGCCTGGTCCGCCCTTGTTTAGTTCTCCAAAAGTGCACTATGTAAAAAGAAGATTCATCGTCACATCAAACTTGCGATATATATGGAGTATTAAATGTAGACGAAATCAAAAACTAATTACACAGTTTGCTTTAACTTTGCGAGACATGAATCTTTTGAGGCTAATTAGTCAATGTTTGGATAATAATTCACAAATATAAATAAAATGCTACAGTGGAGAATCGTGCACTATAACAAGTTTACAGGTGCAAACTTTGCCGAACTAAACGGGCCCCTGGAACACGTACCCATAGGACCTTTTCGACGCCTGCGGGTTCTCATCAGACATGTTGTTACGGTACTCCTTGTACGTATGAATGTGCCGCCGTCTTGGAACTCGGGACCAGTGGTAATGCTGCCGCTGCTTCCACGGTTTCAGATACACTGTTCCGATCCGGCAGCTTTGCTGCTCGGAGTTCACACCTGTTCGAGTCCCAAGTGCTGCTTCAGAGCAGAAAACATGCATTCAGCACAGACACCCGGTTGGCTTGATTTATAAACAGTATTTTTTCTATTAACGAATATTATTTTTCTCTCACAACAAATCAACCAATCAGTACTTTTAGCCATGGCTTATCAGCCAAGCGAACAGGGCAAGACCATGGAACAGGTAGCAGTGTAGCACCAGTGGCATTTGGTTCGTGTGCTCACATTGTGTGTGTGTGTGTGTTTTTTTTGTAATTAACGGTGCAAGTGAAGAGAAGTAGCAAGACCTGTGCCGAGTTTAGAGCTTGGGTAAACTACTGCACCTGCACTACTAAGCGTGAAGCAAAAAAGGCCATGACCACGTGTACGAGTGTGTGCTTGTGATGGTAACTGAGCACCAAACACGGACAGACCAGGGAGACATGGAGGCAGCAGGTGTGGGTTCAGCTCGATCTGCCGCAGCGTACGTAATTCATTTCTTTAACAAGAATCCTAAGGCGATGGTGGTGGTGCGCTCATGTCTGATCCAACGGAATAAGTGGCGCTCTTCATGCGAGCGACGTGAGTCCGGCAACGCCGCTACGTGGAGGCGCCAACACGTGTTCAGCTAGCTGGGCATCGCCTGTGTCTTCACGCGTCGGTGCTTGCATTGCATGCAATTGTTTTCCCATATAAGTACAACTAGCAAATGCATGTACGTTGCAACGGGATCCAATACGTAGTGAGTTGTAGCACGGGTCATGAGTTTCAGTCAAAAATTAAATTAAATTAGTGGTAAAAATCTTTGTTTTTAGGAGTCAAAGATTAAAATGGATTTGACCTCATATTTATTGTTTGTTTTTACTCTTATTATACTTATTAGAACAAGAAAAAACCAAGTGGATAAAACAATGAAAACAAGATCAGAAAAGTCGAGCTAGTGTCAAAAACATCCACGAGTATAAAATTTGAGCATACTTGAAGCAAAGTAAAAAACAGTCATGATAAAAATTGGAATGTACTCTAAAAATAGCCATAGAAAAAAACCAAAACATATTCAGAGCTAAGAGAAAAGCGTCCAAATGAACGTAAAGCAACATATACTCGGAGCTAAGTAAAAACGGATAAACCAGAAAAAAGTAAAAAAAGAACAGAAAAGAAACTAAACAAAGAAATTCTACCATTCTTTTCTCTTTATTAGATTTTTATTCTTGTATTTTTGTATTTGGATTAAGATTCCTATTTCGATTACTCGGAGTTGGAGAGATCTAATTGGATTAAGATTCTTTCCTAGTTGTTCATATATTATTATATTTTTCTGTTTGGATTAAGATTCATATTCACCCGAAATCGAAGAGATCTAATTGGATTAGGATTCCTAGTTGTCCATATTATTATATTTTTCCTATTTGAATTAAGATTCATATTCACCCGAAATCGGAGAGATTTAATTGGATTAGGATTCCTAGTTATATAAAGAGAAGGGCTATAGACGGTTTTCCACATTCACAAAGTTAGTTAAGGGATGGCCAGACCAAAAATAGGTGGAGAGAAATTTTGCCTCTTTATTTTAGGTATAGATATAGATATAATTTCATTAGATGCTATATACTAGCGGTATTTTTTTAGTGAGGCTAAAGTGCTTTGGAGCATGCTGCAAGGTTTAATATTAGTATATTACTCTAGTACATGTTAATTAACGCATCTTATTTATGAGAATCAATAATGTAAGTTCTCAACAATGTAGTTTCCCTTTATTTTATTGTCACTTTTTTTTGTGGTAGTGGCCTAGTGGGTGGAAGATTGTACCGACCCTAATTATCCTTGCTAATGCACATGTGGGCCATGTTAGGGTTAGATTAACCCAGTACATAATCTATTGTACAATAGATTATGTGATGTTCTATGTTTGTTAAGCAGCTGTTGTTGTTGTTTTTTTACCAAATCTCCCCTCTCCTCTCATCTCCTTTGTTTTGACGATGATGAAATTGTCCAAGTCCATACATTATATGGAATATGAGCTGATGATCAAGAACTTGTGAGGAATTTGGCATCATTACTAGCCGCCCCTACATTACCTTCTCCTCTCTTCTCTGTTATGATGCCTTGATGCTCCAAGTTCATGATCAAATGATGATTGACATGTTTATGAGGCCTCTAATACTGCTACTACTCTTGTAGTGGAAAGAAGAGAAAGAAATGAAAAGAGACCCATACAAGGGTGACCAACTCTTAGAGCTCATCGGCGACCTTTGTAACTTCATATTGGAGCAGATTGTACACTTCAAAGGCACCTACCATGACCTGAGATTCTGCCTTAGGTAGAAATCCTCAGTACCAACACCTTCATGAGACTAAAAGGCTAGCTCTAAGCCGTTGATAACAATGTGTATGAAATTTGATATTGGTCTTACCTTGTGGGACGGTTTGAACTTGTGGAACGAATTAGACTTGTGAATTATGTCTATTTAATGATGGATTGTATATATTCTTGTGAATTGGACTTGTAATGGTAGTTTATATAATGCTCTTGTGCTTGTGGTCAGATTTGAATTATATATGTTCTGGTCAGATTTGAAATATATATATATATATATATATGTTCTGGTCGAATTTGAATTGTAAATTTGAATTTTTTTACGGAAAAATATACCGTAGGTAATTTGGTACTACAGTCGTCCCTACAAATCGATTTCGTAGAGGCCGATTTATAGGGGCGGCTGATAACACCAGCCGTCTCTACAAATCGATTTATATGGACGGTATGGGAACCGCCCCTACAAATACATGATTTGTAGAGACGGTTTGGTAGAGGCGGCTGCTCAAACCGCCCCTACAAACCCTCTAAAACCGCCCCTACAAACCTTGTGTAACGTAGTGCGTATATGATAACAATGGTTGGACCTACATCTCGTCCTCCTGTTTGGACGTATGAATGAAGGTGGTCAAGCAGCAACACTGAAGGTAATCATGTAAACCGCGCACCGGACCAAACCATGCTACAGCTAGGTAAATAGACAAAGCGTCATCACTTCACGAGGTAGCTAGGTTACAACTTACAAGCTACTACTACTAAGCTAGCAATGCTGGTGCACGCAAGGGGTAGCAGCTCCAGCCTCTACCCTCAGGCAGTAACCACTAACCACCAGTCCACCGCCACTCCTCAGTCCCTCATCAGTACAGACAGCGCCTGCGGCAGGGGAGAATAGAAAAATTAGCACATCATCACTCACCTTTATTACCCAGAGTTAATTATGCTGCTCGCATGCTAGGGCAGCAGCAAGACAAGAGATTACGGGCAGCAGCAACTTAACCAGGAATCACTCACCAGGTGGCGCGACCTCCGCATCACCGTGACACCGTCGTCCACTTTGCTGGGCTGCCTGCCTGCAATGTCCGGTGTCCCTTCCGTCGTCCGTCCCGGCTGCTTTGGATTCCATGCCTGCGCGGCTGCACAGGTATTTAGGCGCAGAGGCCACACGTGTAACTTTTACTGCGTGAATGAATAATCCATCTGCATATGCCATCACTTGTGTGTGCATGCAAGTAGCCGGCCGAGAATCTCGCATGCACGCACGCAGCCGGGAGCTCGATCGATCTCATCTTGAGCCACCTTTGCAAAGCATGCCGCAGCATCCATCGCGGAAACAGGCGGCTTGTGGTTACCGATCGTGCATAGGAAAGGCTATTTCTTTGTTTGCTTCTTCGCAAGGTGTGCGAGTTGGTTGAGCAGTTGCCCGTTTGGCCTTTCGCTGCTGGTAATGTTTGTTTACCGTGGATGTCAGGGATTGTTTAGGGATCTAGGATCTTTCATCACATGTTGACTACAGTAGGCTTCTAGCACTAGTTTTTCTAACCTCTTCCCTGCAGCTTTACTATTTTCCCTATTAATTAGCTAGTGGGGTTTGAATATGAGTTTATAGACAAGTTAGACCTGCAGTGTTTGTCCAGGAATCCCTCTTCTGCGGAATCGCTCTGAAAACGCTATAAAACTGTCACGACCACGTCCGGAACTGTTTGCTTCTGGCTCTTTCGTTGGGTGGAATTCCTGGCGTGCCATTAAAAAAAAGATCGCAACGTCCTGTGTTTTCTGGAAAAGTTC